ACGGGCAGAAGAAGGAAAAAGTGCAGGAAAACAAATAAGGAATCCTCTGGAAATGAAAAAATCCTGAGCTGAGCTGAGACAGGAGTCAGTCTCTGAGGACGATGAGTATCCACAGTGAAGTTCACGTCAGGGTTTCAGTGTGTGGTCAGGTGTGGCTGCAGGAGGAGGTCAGAAAACAATAGAGCTTTCCTCTGTCTGTTAACTCTGCTGCTGTTGGCAGAGTTTCCTCTGTGAGTTGAGGAGGTTTATGTTACGTAACAGAGGAAAGAATGCAGAGTTCAGCTGATCGGAGCCAAACAGTGTTTCTGACTGCAGCCTGGACTCCCATCGCACACACTGAGAACTGGAGGACGAACCTGCACCTGTAAAACACCTTTCTGGTCTTCTGACCACTCGTTACAGCACGTCACATTCACCCCTTCACACACAGTGTCACAGACTGATGGCCGAGGCGTACATGGTGCCACCTGCTGCTCAGTTACAGGAAGCATTCATTTGCATTCACAGACCAACAGCACGGTCAGCAGGAGAGATCAGGGCTTCAGTATCTTGCTGAAGGACTGCAGGAGCCTGGGTGGCCAACGACCTGCTCTGACTCATGAGCCACGGCCGGAGAGATGCAGCTGAAACCAAACTCAGACCACCACAGCTGCTCCTCACAGAGAGAAGTGTTTCCTGGAGCTGAAGCCTTGAAGAGGCCGAAACTCATGACGTGTTTCTGTGCCCTCAGATTCATTGTTTTCAGTGTTGATGCACAGCAGGCGCACTCCAGAGCCAGGGCAGCATGCACGCTCTCTATATATAGCTATGTGTGTTTCATGTGTTGTAAACATCCCTGCCCTCTTACTTTCATATGTCCTCTATTATGATGTAGATACAGCCAATAGATGGCACCAAAGGGCGGAGTCAAAAGTTTCAGACACACAGGCGACGGTGGAGGAGGTCGTAGTAACATACCTTTTAACAGAGGCAGTGTTGTAGGTGATCCGTGAGGCAGTCTAACTTATCCAGGAGGGCACGGCTGGTGAGCAGGTCAGGAGGTCAGACTTCAGGAAGATGGATCAGATTCAGGTTCAGGTTGAGGTGGCTGGAAAATAAAGGCACAGGCATCACTGACGATCTGCCCTGGAGCAGGCGGAGGCGGGATGGTATAAATACTGTGGGGGGGTAGTCAGGTAATGAAGGACAGGTGAGCAGGTGGATGTGGAGTCAGGTGACTGGGACTGAAGGTAAAGTCTGAGGACATCTGGTGGAAGGATGGAGAATGACAAGTCCAGAGAGTTCATGAGAAATACATGGACCTGAAAGAAGAGAGATGAGGACTGAAAACAGTGACGTAGAGTCTGAGCTGACTCACCAGGAGGTGGAGGGGATGGTGGACGGTGTGACACCTCAGAGAGACGCCTGCCAAGCTGCAGACACTGTTCAACACCAACGACCAACTAAACTGTGATTTAGAGAGTCATCACTGCCTTTTCTTCAACTTGCTTTTTTGCGACCGTCCATCCATTTTCATCCTCTTATCCTGGGCCGGGTCTCGGGGGACAGCAGGCCGCATCCCTCTCCTCAGCTCCTTCCCCGAGGTGTTCCCAGACCAGATGAGATCTATAATCCCTCCAGTGTGTTCTGGGTCTGCCCCGGGGCCTCCTACCAGCTGGACCAGGAGGATCCTGATCAGATGTTGAACCACCTCAACATGAAGGAGCAGCGGCTCTACTCCGAGCTCCCTCCTGATGTCTGACTCCTCCCCCTATCTCTAAGGCTGAGCCCAGACACCCTACAGAGGAAACTCATTTCAGACGCTTGTATCTGTGACCTCATTCTTTCAGTCACTACCCAGAGCTCATGACCATAGGTGAGGGTTGGGACGCAGATGGACCAGGACATGGAAAGCTTCACTTTCCACAATGATCTGGCGCAGCGCCCGCATCACTGCAGAAGTTGCAGCGAACCACCGATCCATCTCACGCTCCTGAGATACTCAAACTCCCTCGCTTGAGGCAGTAACTCTCTCCCAACCATCCAACCAACCAATCACTATTTATCCACCGGGGACAGTGCCACAAAAAGCGGGTGTTTTTTTTTACATTGACATCGCTGTGTTTCCAACAACTCTTTAGGCACCAAACGTGGGTATTTTGTAGTGACCTGTTCCTGTTTCCTGTCAGAGCTGTGCTCCCAAAACATGATCTTTTCCTAACTACAACAAGTGTTTATTATGTCTAATCCTACTCACACAATAACATTATTAAATGTAAAGTTTCAACGTATCCACTACATAATAACGTATGAACGTAACAAAACTGTGGTTTTCCAAAAATGTACGATGCCAATATTTCCTCGTGGCGGCTGTGCCGTGTGGACAGACAGTTGAGTGACCTGAGAGGGGGAAATGTAAAAGCTGTCAGGCTGATTTTCCACCAGCAGCTCTGACGCTGAGCAGTCGCCTGTGTGTCCCTGACACTCTGCCAAAGGTGTGTTGAAGCACCGACTTCCTGTTTTGCTCTGAAATATTTGTACTGAAGTTCATTAGCAGCTTCAGCTCTGCTGTCTGATTCAGTGCAGCTGGTTTTTACTGTCTCACCCTCAGACGGACAAAATATCTCAGTGATCTTTGTTGTTTCACAGTAATTAGTCATTTTTCTCCATCGTTAAAGGGATCACTTCAGCCCTGTTTCCACCGAGCAGTTCAGTTCAGTTCAGTTCAGTTCAGTTCTCATTTTTTCTGTCTCCACAGTGTAAAGTTGTGGATGGTCCCAACAGAAGCGTTCCTTAGCGTCCCCATGTTTGGTCCCCCCTCTGTTGGGGTACCTAGCACACAGATCTGGTACTAAAAGGTGGAGCTAGAAACCCTGCAGTCTGATTGGTCAGTAGAGGACGCTCACTCTGGTTTTATGTAACCTCTGTTCATACATCAGTAAACTACAACTATAAAATGAAAGAGAAAAAAATAACTTCATTCACTGGGCCGACTGCCGGCAACTTTTAAGGTGGAACGTTAACTTGTAATGTTACTCAATGCATGAGTTGATGACGTGAATCCATCAGCACACCTTAAATTTCACTGTGACAACTTTGACCATCACTTTAGTTTTTATATGACACACACTTTTAGTAATGACTTTAAAAATATAGATTAATTTGGAGCGGATTATGTGAAGGTCATATATTCTAATCCTCACTTCCTGTGGGCTACAGCAACACTAAACCCCTGAGCTTGCCTGAGAAGGACTAAATGCACAAAGCTGCTATTTTTAAATATCCCATGGAGAGAGACTCTCACTGCAGCCTGTTCTATTTTGTTGTGAAAATGTGGGCGTGCAGCCTCGTTCTGTGGACGATAAACCAGGTGCAGACTTCCATCTGTGTCACCGCTGATGAGGAAATACAGCGAGTGCTGGACGGAGCAGTGAGTGACAACAACCCCGCCCACATTTAAGAGGACTGTCTGAACACACCGAGGGTCTAGGTACCATGTCTGAAGGCTTACTGCTGGTTCCACAGGGACTGGACTAAAAGGGTTTGGTGGAGACGGGGCTGTAGAGCTGGGCGATATGTTCTGAAAATTATATTCCAATATTATTATGCTATATCTCGATACATGATATATATCTCAATATTTTTTAATCTCCTCAAACGCACATCAATGTTTGGACTAGGAAACAAAATCAAACATGATACAAAGATTAAAACCAATAGAAAGGTCTGGTAAGTTACTCAGCGAGGGTAAAAACACCATTTATGCCACATCACGATTCAACGATATAAAAATTCTAAGACGATATATAGTCCTATATCCTGATACAGATATAATATCTTCATATTGCCCCGTCCGAGGATCACAGGGAGGTGGTGGTGGACTGGAGGTGGTGTTTTAATTACTGGTCAACCAGTTCTCCCAGAGCTTATCTACACAGTAATGATACAGTGGGTGTGGGTGGGACGGAGGGTGGTGGTGTTTTATGGATCAGAGTCATTAAGTCACAGAAATTTCAGGTGAACAAGCCTCACCTGCTCTACACCCACAGCCTCAGGTGAATCACTGTGCAGGTGAATCACTGCAGGAAGTGACCTCACTGACGGAAGTGGGAGTGGCATGTAAGTTAGAATCACTAATGTTATAGGAGATAATGATGGGATGCTGAGCGAGGTATCACAGTCAATATGTGAATTAATAAAAAGTTTCTACAATTGATGGAAACTCGTGGACCAAAATTTTTGCGGACTTTCCGAGTTGGCGTTTTGCCTCAGGAGGCTTTTACATGAAATGTTTCAGTCTTTTAATTTTTCTAAATATTCTGACAACACATGAACACAGGCTCACTGCACCTACAGTGCTTTACGCTGCTCGTTCAAGGCTGGAATATGCCGCCTCGCTGTTCTGGTACAATCATGGAATGGGGGGACAGAGGGGTTTCACCTTTAAGCTGCCACGGGAGGTGTCTGTATAAAGGGACGGCCTGCAGGACGGGATGGGTGTGATGTTTTGACAATGTGTTATGTGTGCGACCCACTGCAGGAGATTTAAATGGTAGCTGTTAGCAGTTAGCAGCTAACTCAAAGAAGAACAGTTACTGAGGATTTTGTTCGGTTGTATTAACTTCAATCTGGAAAACTAAGCATATGAGCAGCACACTGATGATGTCAGAGGGCTGTGATTGGTTGATTGCAATGTCGATCCAGGAGCATTTCCTACTGCTGTTCATTAAATCACGTCGTACTGAGCTGCCTTGTCATTAATTATCAATAACATGCAGAGTAAAGTATTGAATCAGTTGCCATGGACACCTGGAGTTAGTTGTACATTGAGCTCCCTGTGTTACTACTTAATGGACACCTGCCAACCAATCAGAAACCAGCACTGTGTCTGACCTTGAGTAGAGACAGAGCGGGCGAGGCGGTCTGAACCTCGGTGAGGAATTTATGTCCATGTGAAAAAGTTTCATCCACTGAGTCATCCAGGAACTCAGATAGGATCTGCTCTGTGTGTGTGTGTGTGTGTGTGTGTGTGTGTGTGTGTGAGTCAGCTAGTATTTAAACACCACACCCTGTCCTGTCCTGGGTCATAGCTGCTGCTCGCTGCCTCACTGCTGCTGCTGCTGCTGCTGCTGAAGGTAAGGAAACATGGCTTATAACCTACAGATGTTTGTTAGCTCAGATTTCAGCTGAACTCAAACACCACAGGAGAGACGGATCAGAACTCTACAGACAGAACTTGAACACAACACAAAGTATTAGTTGTTTTTTGGTTCTTTAAACTGCAGCAAACATCTGTCCAACATGTCATTCAGTCTCTGTGAAGAATCTATAAAGAGCTAAAATCTGTCTCAGGAGACTCGTGTGAAATGTTCCAGACGTGCTAACAGCCAACCGGTCGGTGGGTGCGGCTGGGTAAAGTCTTCCCTGCAGACTCGCTCTGCTCTCTGTCTGCCTGTAATTACCAGAGAATCATGTTCATGTCATATACAGAGGGAGGATCACAGAGGGGTGATGGAGCGCTGTTATCTGGAGGCACACACACAGAGATTATGAGAGACAGCCAGACATTTATCTCCTCCTTTCTCTGTGTCTTTATCTGGACACCTGCCAGCTGCTGCTGCTCCTCAGCAAAGACATTAAAGACATTAAAGACAAGGACCACGTGTTGTTGGGTCGACAAATCAGAAACCCTCACTCATGAACATGCAGGAATCAGAAAAAGAGACCTGAGCAGTTTCCTGACTCACTGATTGAAGGCTTTTATTTTGAAACCAGCTGGATGCAAGGAGGTGATTCACTGAGGAGGATTTTGTTATCTGCTCCTAATCAAACATTGTTCATTAAAGCATGCAGTCGTACAGTTTTAGCAACAGACGTCACATTTGATACTCAAATCTGAAGCTCAAGGTTCCTCAAAACTTTCAAATTAAGTGTTGAATCTCAACGGGGAACCAAAACTCTGGGACTTTAGTTTGAAAACTGGAGAAGGGAAGTAACTAATGTTACTACATGATTATTGCTGGAGCACAGCCATCGTTAATTTTACCACTGTTCTTCCTGCAATGACAATATCAGCTCTGGAAAACATTTAACAATCAGATTCACCTGGGAACAAAATGATTTTTTAACTTATACTTTCAGCAGTAAAAACAAACAACAAGACTCTGTCGAGATCATGAATCATTTCTGCACACATTCAGTACATCATCAGTACTGAAACTCTGCTCCAACATCTGGGACAGAGATTCATGCCCTGGCACACTATAGCCCTGTTTCACCAAACCCTTTAAGTCCAGCACCTGTGGAACCAGCAGTAAGCCTTCAGACATGGTACCTAGACCCTCGGTGTGTTCAGACAGTCCTCTTAAATGTGGGCGGGGTTGTTGTCACTCACTGCTCCGTCCAGCACTCGCTGTATTTCCTCATCAGCGGTGACACAGATGGAAGTCTGCACCTGGTTTATCGTCCACAGAACGAGGCTGCACGCCCACATTTTCACAACAAAATAGAACAGGCTGCAGTGAGAGTCTCTCTCCATGGGATATTTAAAAATAGCAGCTTTGTGCATTTAGTCCTTCTCAGGCAAGCTCAGGGGTTTAGTGTTGCTGTAGCCCACAGGAAGTGAGGATTAGAATATTAATCTATTAATCTATTAATTAATCTATATTTTTAAAGTCATTACTAAAAGTGTGTGTCATATAAAAACTAAAGTGATGGTCAAAGTTGTCACAGTGAAATTTAAGGTGTGCTGATGGATTCACGTCATCAACTCATGCATTGAGTAACATTACAAGTTAACGTTCCACCTTAAAAGTTGCCGGCAGTCGGCCCAGTGAATGAAGTAATTTTTTTCTCTTTCATTTTATAGTTGTAGTTTACTGATGTATGAACAGAGGTTACATAAAACCAGAGTGAGCGTCCTCTACTGACCAATCAGACTGCAGGGTTTCTAGCTCCACCTTTTAGTACCAGATCTGTGTGCTAGGTACCCCAACAGAGGGGGGACCAAACATGGGGACGCTAAGGAACGCTTCTGTTGGGACCATCCACAACTTTACACTGTGGAGACAGAAAAATGTGAGTGAACTGAACTGCTCGGTGGAAATGGGGCTTAAGGTACTCACAAGCAACATTGCTAACATTCTTGTGCCCAGAGTGCAACACTCTGTTGATCCCCTGTAACTGAGAGGGATGTAGTCTTTGTAGGCTGACGGAGAAGTCGGTGTCACCCTGGTTCCCTCGTCAAAAAGCCAATGAGAATGTTCCATTGGATTTTGGATTATTACAGAAAATAAACTCTGTGACAAAACAAAGGTTTGTGATCCTTCCAGGTTTGATTCATCAAGATAGTCTTCATAATGAAGATCACCAAGACTTCTTTTGAAGCCTAAATTCAGTCCCCAGAGGTCAAAAGCTAACATTAGGCCGTAAGCAAACTACACCACAGTCACATGACTTAACCACCTCCACAGCAAGGCTGCAAAGTCGTGTTTGGCATAATGATGTTCTGTAGTCTCATTTAGACACTTGTTAGTAACCGTCTTTTCTAAGACACATAAAAGTTTCTAAATTCACAGTGTGGTATTTACTGATGGGACAATAGTTTAGACACTGGTGTTCTTCCAATTCATTAATTGTTTCGTTATTTAAAAGAAAAAAAGCCAAACATCTCCACTTTCAGCTCCACAAATATTCCTTTGTGAAGCCGTCACCTCATTCTCTGGGCAGTTAATCAATAACGATATAAACGTTGGCTGAGGCTCAGCTCAGGGTCAAATAAGCTCTGTGTCTGAACTCTGTTAATAAACTAACAGAGATTAAAAGTACATGTTTTACAGGAATAATAAAATGGTGGCGTTTCCCTTTAAACTCCAACAAATAGAGGGATGATTCAGTCTGTTGGGCCGAGACTTCAGGACTGTTTGTGTCTGCTGTTGCTAGGCGATGAAACGCTGACCCTCACACTTCCTGTTAATGTTTTGTAAGAAGGTGAAAGGTCAAGAGAGATTTCCAGTTCTCCTCAGAAATATGAAATAAACATAAAGTCAATATTGATGGGTTAATATTAACTTTGGACGCTTTACAGAGTGTGTGTGTGTGTGTGTGTGTGTGTGTGTGTGTGTGTGTGTGTGACTGTGTGTGTGTGTGTGTGTGTGTGTGACTGTGTGTGTGTGTGTTAAATAAGAGTCTCTGATGTGTTTGCTTTGTGATCCACATTCCTTATCTGCAGCCCTGGCCTCTCCCGCTGACACACCTGTTGGAACATCCTGGTCCATAAATCAAACACACCTATCTGAAGTGTTTACAGCCTGCTGGATTCTGAGGCTCCAAATGTTAAAGTGATAGTTTGGAGTTTTTGAGGTGTGGTTGTGTGATGTGCTTATCTATAGACAGTGTGTTACCTTGAGTCGATGTCAGTCAGCACACCCCCAGTTTGGAGACGCAGGCTGGAGTCCAACATGGAGGCGAAGTAATGGCTGCTGTGGAGAGGGGGCGGCAATGAAATATAAAATGAATATATCATATTTTAACGAACTAAAAAAATCAATAGCAGTTTAAGAGTACACTATAGTGAGAGTATTTCCACCACTGTACCTTTCTATCAGACAGTCTGTTCTGTCAAGAGAGCAGCTAACAGCTTCAGTTATCTATCTGCGCTCTCGTCAAATCCACCAGACTCCATTAAGAAATACAGCAGCAGTCGACCAGCAGCTCCTGTGTACACTCATGTTAAATCACTGGTTTTCTCAGTGGAGTCTGGCTGTGAAGAGAGCGATATTATGGCTTCATTTACCTCTTAAAAATCATTGTCTGACATTCAGGTAAAGCAGTGAGAATACTCTAAATATAGCATTCAAACTGATACAGAATTTTTTAGGCGGCTAAAGTACGTTTTGTTCCTGACCCCGTCCAAAGCAGTGCATCGCTGAGCTTTCATGTCGGACTCCAGCCTGTTTCTCCAAACTAGAGGCGAGCTGACTGACATCCAGTGTAGGTAACACACTGACTGTGGGTAAATACCTCATACACCCCCACTTCTATCCCTTTAACAGACTGCAGCTTTTTAGAAATAAATCTAAAGAAGGGAAAACAAATGTTTGTACTGGGAGTAAATCTGTAGTTTGTTAGTTTAGCACAGTTTCTGAGATCGAATCTAAAACTGATGCGACTTTATTATTTCTCCTCTGGTGTTAACAGGAAAGTCTCCCTCTCTCTCACGTTTTATATGTGAGTGTTTAATTTGTGCAGAAAAGACCTAAACTTACCATACAACCATAAAAAGAGTGAACATCACAAAAAAAAAAAATTTTCTCAGCTGAAGTGTTTGAATATTAAAAAAAGAGAAACTGTGATGGAGGCTGATGTAAACATATGATTACTGTAAATACTAGGATACAACACTAATCACTGCAATACAGTACAACACTGGTCAGATTTTAACGCAAATGACAATAAATTCCTTGAATCTCTGAATAAATTTAGTGCTGAAACAATCAGTCAATCAAGTTGTAGACTAAAGGAAAGTTAGGAGGCTTTCACATCGGGGACGTGAGCCTGGATCAGAGTGCAGCTGACCACAAAGTCCAGTTTGTCTGATTAATGTGAACACTGTGACATGTACCCAGGAACAGCACAACAGTCCACGTGACAAAGTGGTCTCCAGGACGGTTCATAGGTTCTTAGTACAGCTCACGAATTTGCAAATACTGGGATGGCACACCTTACTCTGCCTCTGATTGGCTTACCTTTACATTCTTACTCTAACAGAGGGGTCGGCAGTCGCATGCAGCTCTTTGGCCCCTCTTCAACAGCTCCCTGTGGCTTTGACCAAACATTGAAATGAACCACTGTTATTTTTGAACATTTTAAGTTTCATTCATCATTGTTGTCAGCCTAAAGTGATTCTTACATTATCCAGTTGTAACAATGTGTAACCTGTGGGCCTACAACAAATTTTTAAAAGAGTTAACTAATCTGTGAGTCATAGCGATGTCGACGGCCTGGCGCCTTCTCTCTATGCTGCCGAACATCAAGAGCAGTGGATTGTCTTGAGTTTCCTTAGTAAAGCTAGCCGTGGATTTCAAATCCAGAAAGGAAAAGTCTTGGAGGAAAACAGATTTGTTTACTTTGGCTGCAAGGCACCAGATATTCATAAATACGTAACAGCAGAGTCGCCTCCTAATGGTAAAACATATTAATGATTAGACCTATTTGTAATGTTGATACACTTAATAAGGTTGGGTTACCTTCATCATAAGAAACACATATATTTTGTGGCTTTAGACAGATTTAAATCAATCATTAAAACATGGCTCTTCTGGTCGTAAAGGTCGCCTCTCTCCTAAACATAACCAATCCAACTAACAAAGGCAACGAGAACTGGCCGGATTCACAGATTCACAAATTTGCACATGGTTTGCATAAAGTTTGAAGACCAACGGCACCAAATCACAGAAGTAGACTGCTTTTTAACACGAGTAAGAGTCGTGAGCAGAGCTGAAGGGATTTCTTATCTGACGGTCTCCTGTGAAATCTGTGTGCAGCAGGCAACGACCTCACCCTCGAAAACTGCATGGCGATGGCTGATAAAGTAGGAAGGCAGGCGAGAGGGTCGATCTGAACACTTAACAACATAAATCAAAGTCAGCACAAAGCAAAGGTCGACTCTTTTGTAGGGGCTCGGCATCCTGTGATTGGCTCTCTTTTCAACTCTCCTGCTAATCTGTAGCAACAACGTCTCACTGCCATCACTAAAATTAAGTGGGGAAAAAGTTGCTAAATCTATTGGTCAAATGAGTCATTACAAATAGACATATTGAATATCTGCAAAAAAAATCCATTATCATGCATCCCTAGTATATAAACTTTATTAATTTCAGTCACTTTTCTCAAACTGTCTGGGTTTATTAATTTTTCACAATCTCTCCAGACCTGGGGATGGCTCATCTTACATTCCATGACTTTTCCAGATTTGATTATGTGAACCCTGCTTATAGCACCTATGCAGCCCAATCACTGAGAAAGTCTCAGTTTACATGTACGTGTTGATATAAGCAAAGCAAATGTGGGAGGGGGCATTCACTGGACCTTTTGTGAACGTAAGAGAGAGCTGCAGAATCTGCTGAAGTGAAAAAGATGACGAGTGATGAAATAGTCGTTCTAACGGTCTGTCGTCTCCCTGCAGGTCGACTCAACATGGCACTGGTGTCTGAGTTTCTGGGCCAACTGACACTGTCGTACGGAGGGGTGAGTCACCTGCTGACATCACACAGGAAACAGTTCTGCACGACGACAACGATATCTATCAGAATTATTCTGTGGTCATTATTACAAAATGTAACCACCTCTAACGTCCTGTTTGCAACATCTGTGGACGCTGCTCAGGTTTGAATCTTCAGATTACACAACTGTATGTCTGCACAGATTTTCATATCTTTACTGCTCTGAGAGGATCCACAGTGTTTTACTGCCCTCATAAAGCAGGTACAGGTGTGGTTCGCTCTCCACCCACCTCAATAATCAGAAACCTGATAAAGTGAAGACGAGACTGAAGACTGATCGATGAGTCGTTCAGACACAGCGCCTTGTAAAGGTTTTCACCCCCCTCTGTATCCTCCACATTCTGTTGTATTACAACCAGAAATTTAAATGCATTTTTGTTTGGATATTTCTGGAATGGACCTGAACATAAATTCAAAATTGGTAACGTGAAATAAATTTAAAAAAAAGAATTTGAAAAAAATAATAAACTGAAAAGTGGTGTGTGCATATCGATTCACCCCCTCTGCTGTGACGCCCCTAAATAAGACCTGGTGCTGACAACTAGCTTCACAAGTCACATCACTAATTAAATAAAACCTACCTGTGTGCAGTCAGAGTGTCACATGATGTCAGTGTACATACACCTGTTCTGAAATGAAGACGAAGGAGCTCTCCAAACAAGTCAGGGACAAAGGTGTGCATAGAGACAGATCAGGGTTGGGTTCTCAAAAATAAATGAAAGTTTGAACACCTCACTGAGCACCATTAAATCCATTATTACAAAATGGTAACAAACCTGCCAAGAGAGGGCCGCCCAGCAAAACTCACAGACCAGACAGGAAGGGCATTAATCAGAGAGACGACAAAGGGAGGAGCTGGAGTATCTGTCCACAGGACACTTTGAGCTGTACACAAAAAAGCCATTGCTTAAAGAGATAAGAACATGAGGAGCTCGCCAAAAGGCGTGTGGAGACTTCTCAAACACACAAAAGAAGGTACTTTTGTCCTAGGGAACTAAAGCTGGACTTTCTGGCCACTCGTTCACCTACGACTGGGGGTGGGAATCACCAGAGGACCCAGGATATGATATTTAGATACACTGCGATTTATCACCTTTTTATCCAACTGCAAATTATTTCTCCAAAGGAAAACTTTGTCAGCTTCAGTTTTACCTCCTAAGATCAAGTTTTCAGTCTGTTCATCGACTTTAATCATTTTTTATTGCAGCTAAATGTGACACAGAGCAGACAGACTGACCAACAGCGTCATAACACCTGTCAGAAGTGTTGCATACACCTGACAGACTGAACTGTGGGCAGATTCAACACCCTCTGAGAGGACAGATTAAGACATGAGACAAAAACTTCACATGCAGGTGTCCTGCTGACTAACAGACAACGCCCATGTTGAAGGCGTTGTCTGTTCCATTCTTGTGCTGCATTTTGCAGGATGTCTGCAGTGTTTGCTCCGCTGTGACTTCTGGTGTTATGATGGTGGGCTCAGAGGTAGAGAGGGTCGTCCACTAATCGGAAGATCATCGGTTCGATCCCCACCTCCTCCGGTCTGCATGTCAAAGTACCCTCGGGCAAGATACTGAACCCCAAATTGCTCCTGATGGCTGCGTGTGAATGGTTACTGAGTAGCAGGTGGCACCATGTGCGGCAGCCTCGGCCATCAGTGTGTGAATGTGACTCGTAGTATAAAAGCCAGAAGACTAGAAAAACAATTTACAAGTCAGTCAAAGCACAGAAATTACAAACCTATTCTTTCATGTGTCATTCAGCCAAACACAAACCTGCTGTACCTGTTGCCATGACGACAGCACTATCAGTGTGAGACAGCTATTTGATGGCGGGTCTGACTGCACCACCTCGTCTCCAATCAATGACATTAGACCCCCTCCATCAGAGACCCTCATGTTGTTCTGAGCTGCAGCGGACTGTGAGGTAACTCGTCTCTCTCTGTCCTCTGTAGGAAGCCGAACCCAAATTCCCCACCGTGGTGCCGGTACGAGACTTCGACCCGGCCAAAGACGCCGCCAGGATTGAGACGGCCATCAAAACTAAAGGTGAGAGGGTCCAACAGCTCACCTCGCCTGCTGCCTGGAAGTTTCCACACATTTCTCAGAGTTATGTAACTGTGGTCTGCCTGTTCCATCACAAATAACTGGGTGGACGTCAGCCACAAACGAAGGGTTACATGAGATCAGAGTCTGGATCGCTGCTCTCAGGAGCTACTGCAGAGACAAACCTGAGGCTTCAACCTGTAGGCGTGCCGTGTTTCATCAAGGCAAATCGTTCTGGTTTCACCCTGAATGTGTCGTTACAAGTGTTTCCTATCATTACCTCCATCAAGGGTACGTCTTTGGTACAGTGTGTCTGTCTGTCAGCGGTTTAAGAGAAAAGTGTTTGCCTGGTTTTTCATTAAACATGGTGGAAAGGTGAACCGCGGGCCGAGGAAGAAGCTCTTACACACTGATGTGGATCCAAATCAGGGGGTGGATACGCTGTTGACACTGTGTGATGGAGCATCTGGCCTGGCAGAGATCTGTGCTCTCCAAGTTTCCTTCCTGTTCCTATTTGATTTTTTAAATCATGATGGTTTTCATATTTCTACAGCTTTCCACACCCGACTGCAGAATTAGCGCCACCTGCTGCTCATCTTGATGAGCTGAGGTGGATTTTCTGAACATTCATTTGGGTGGAAATTCAACTGAGTCCTGATCACGAGGCCGTGACACACAACATATTCCTGCTCTCCAGAGGATGAACCCTTCAGATTTTAATGACTGCTTCACCTGTTAGATTTCTGTTGTTATCGTGGTGACTCGGTTTGTTTTGGAGTCTCACTCCTGCAGTGTTTCAGCCTGACGTCTGACTCCATCCAGTTACAGTAAGATATCAGATTACTGCCTGCTGTCTGTCCATGTGTGAGCTGTTCAAACTGTAACTGCATGTTTTCTGGTCAGATTGGAAACTGACGACAGTTGTTGGAATTCATCTGCAGATCTCTGCTGAGGGAGTTAAACCTGTGAGGCTGAACGTACACTTCAGGTCCTCTCTGTTTGTGTGGAGAGCTGCAGGGTTTTCCGACTCAGCTTCCTGTGTGTGTGTGAGCTGCAGTAAAAACAGGACGTCCCTCAACAGACTCAAGATTTTCCATCGTCATGTTTTTCTGAAGCTGAAACAAAGACACAGAGACAGCTGCTGATGATCAGAGGATCAGCGCAGTTTAACACACAGAAGTTAAATATGAACACAGACAGATGTTGAAGCAGAGTTCAGACGACGAAGTGTTTCAACAGCTCATAAACAGCTGACAGTATTTAGTCACATTACTGACAACATGAGGGCTTTGATTTCATCTGTTACTTTATCAAACAGCAAACATAGAGGCTGTGGGGAAGTGAAAAGCCAAAACATCTGCTCAGTGGTGCACTCAGACTGTCAGAGATGCAGGGGCAGAAAATAAGGGCACCAGCTCACAGAAAGATTTTTAACATGCATTATGCATCAGTCACCATCTCTGTGAACCTCCTCCTGCTCCCACTGCCAGGTTAGCACGAGCTAACACTGCAGCAGCGGCTAACATCCGACACTGAGCCATTAAACGGTCCCAACGATCACACCGACACTGACACTGACACAGCTCGACTCTGTTGTTAAAGCAGTTCAGAGAAGGTGGAGAGAGGACAGCGGTGGAGGAAATATTCAGATCCTTTACTGCAGTAAAAGTACTGATATCAGACTGAGAGGACTTCATTACGTGGGAAAGACAGACAAAATAGTTAAGGAAAGTTTTATCAGTAAAATGTAATCCAAGTATCAAATGTAAAGTACTCACCAAGGGAGTATGATGTTATCACCACGGCTGTAGCTCCTCTGAATATTCTCTGGGAATTCTGGGCTTTAAGCAACAATTAAAAACTTATGTTAGATATTTTAAAGGTGGACTGCAGCAATTTTTGTCTCAGAATGTTTAATCTCGACAAAAATTCCGCATTTCTCCACCAGAATCTTGTTTGTCTGGTCTGAATATATTCCACTGGACTCTTTTAAAGTTGAACGTACTGACAACAAATAAATCTGCGTGTTGCAGGTGTGGACGAACAGACCATCATCGACATCCTGACCAGACGTAGCTACGAGCAGCGCAGAGAAATCGCCTTCGAATATGAACGCCTCGCCAAGAAGGTTTAAAATGTTTCTGCTTTAGTAAACAAAATCACGACCTTTGACCTGTCAGTATCACTTTGCTTCAGAGACGAAACTATCCTGCTGCTTCCTGCTTTAGTGTCAGATGATTGTTTCCAGTGTTTTTTAAGAGACGTTTGGTTTGTGTGCCTCCATCTCTTTTCCAGGATCTGATCACGGCCCTGAAGGGGGCGCTGTCCGGCTCTCTGGAGGCTCTGATGTTGGGTCTGATGAAGAGCACCTCTCAGTACGACGCCTCTGAGCTCAGAGCCTCCATGAAGGTCAGAGTCACCACTGCAAAACGAGCACTTTTACTTTTGATGAAAAACATCAGACGGCTCTGACACAGTCACTTTTATATGTAACTGATGTTAATGTGTAAAATGAGGAGTCTTACCTGCTGGTTTCTGTGTTTCCAGGGACTGGGAACAGACGAGGAGACTCTCATAGAGATCGTCTGCTCCAGAAACAACGAGGAACTGGTGGAGATCAAGAGGGTTTACAAAGAGAGTACGTCTGGAAATCTTCTTCCTCTAATACTCACTGAAGAATAAAGAATAGAAGAATTAAATCCTCAGTAACATTTCACTGTAAAAGTTTACTCTGCAGGATGTTGGTTACTGTTTGTGAACACGCTCACCAGTGAAACTGAAAGTCAAAGCCGACCCCAGATTCACTCGTTTGGCGTTTTCTCTCACCGCATCAAAAGTCCCGTTTTAGTCTAACAGAGATCCATTTTCTCTCATGTCATGTAAACGTACTGAGTGACCCTGAACAGTGTTAACTAGCCCATCTTCAGACAGAGTGCACACACTTTGGTAACAGAGAGAACAGAACTCATTAGATGGCGCCGGCGTCGCCCGTACCTTCATATTTATTTATTTACAGGATTAACCAATAATATTAATAATTAATCTGATAATTCCATCAATAAATGACTCTCATGTACCAGTATACTGTGATACTGGAAAACATCTTCCATCATGATGTATATAATATCATATTGTGATATGATATTATACACATCATGATGGAAGATGTTATCCACGTCTCCCACCTCCACTGACAAAGTGACTCAGTAAAGCTAAAGTTAGCATGCTAACAATTAATGTGGGCAGCCCTAGCATAAACTGATACAGGCGCTGTTTGAAAACTGCTGGACATTACTAGCATGTTAGCTAGCTGACATTTGCTGCATAGTATCAAGAACAAACATCTAGCTGGTTAGCTTCTGTGGCTAACATTAGCTACGTCATAGATGATATTTACCTCACTGTTGTTATGCCTCCGTGGCAGAGATAGCCGGGGCCAGACACTCTATGTTTTCAGGTTGTCAATCCGTCCGTTGTATTCTTGCAATCGGCATATCTCCAAAAGGCCTTGAGGTATTTTTTTTTTAAATATGGCACAAACATCCACTTGAACACAACAATGAACTGATTAGATTTTGGTGGTCAAAGGTCAACGTGAACGCACGTCAGTCTTATCTTCATAAACGCCATATCTTCTGAGGACCTGAAGTAAACTTCCTCAAATTTGGCACAAAAGTCCACTTGGACGCAAGAATGAGCTGATTTGAATTTGGTGGTCGAAGGTCAAAGGTCACTGTGACCTCACAAAACATGTTTTTTGTCCATAACTGAAGAATTCATTCACTAATTCTGACCAAACTTGACACAAATGTCTAACAGGATAAAATAATGAAGGTCAAAAGGTCAAAGGTCAGCTTGACTGTGACATCATCATGTTTTAACGTCATATCTCAGGAACAGAAGGGGAGACATTTGGTCAGATACTGAATTGGAAACTGTGCTGATTGTATAGATCTTCTGTGTGTGAAGCATCCATGTTTTAGACTTTGAAGCTTCGTCACGGACACATCTGAAGCATCGTTACCTGTCATGGCTCCATATTAATCTGGACAGACATGCGTGTAAACTGTACATGGCTGATTTGTGGAAACATGCAACCTCAGAGCGGTAATTTAAGTTTTTCATGGTGTTCAAATCTTTTATTTCTGTGTGCAGTGTTTAAGAAGGAGCTGGACAAAGACGTAGCAGGAGACACATCAGGAGACTTCGCCAAACTCCTGCTGGCTCTGGTTCAGGTAGGTTCACGTTAGCTCAGATGCTAACTGCTAAACATACATCTGCTGTTATCTTTCTTTAATTATCTCTTTGGGCCGTGGCTAACTGTGACAGCATTTGGATGAAATAATCAGCAGATTCATCCATGATGAAAAATAATAGTAATTTGAATCAACATCTTTCTACAGTTTAAAACTTTACATTTTTTGATTACCCACGCATACTTTCTCTCACGTAAGATTGTCAATGCAGGACTTTTACTTGTATCAGATTACTTTCACAGTTTGGTATTAGCACTTTTGCTGCAGTAAAAAAATTGAATACTTCCTCTGTCAGTGGTGGAAGCCGCAGAGCTCTGCTAGTCTGCTGCGAAACAACAGCTTTACTGTTTTTAACACTGACATGTCTGTTGATCTCCAGACGAAGAGAGACGAGCCGTCTAATGTGGTCGACTACGAGAAGATTGACGAGGACGCCAGAGTGAGTCGAACCATGCAGATATTTACACAAAGTTTTTCTTTCAACACTTGTGTGATCTCTGAATAAGCTGTTCTTCTGGGTGTGAATCTGTTCAGTGTGATATCGTTGTTTAATGAGGAATCCATTAACTGATAAGTCAAACGCTCAGAGATCCCTCAGCGTTCCTTCATACCTCCACTCCGAGCAGTGACTTTAAACCGCCGTCTGTCCTCCTGTGTGAACCTTTCAGTGTCTGTATGAAGCTGGCGTGAAGAGGAAGGGGACTGATGTGGCGACCTGGATCTCCATCATGGCTCAGAGGAGCGTCCCCCACCTGCAGAAAGGTGAACTACACACACACACACACACACACACAACATTAAATACCGACGACATGTGTGACCAACTCGTTGTTTTGCACGTCACAAGTCTCAAGTCTTTGTTTTCAAGTCAAAAAGGCAAGTTCAGATTCCTAAAGTTTGAGTTTTGAGTCTTAAACGAGTCATAATGCACTCGTCACTAAATGTACAGTCATTTTAACGACAGAATTTAAATATGTCATAGAAGGAAACTTTTCAGTATCAATACACTTTTCATAACACTGTGTGTGTTTCATGTTTTACATGTTGTCTCTGTGCATGTGTTTGTGTTTGGTCAGTGTTTGACAGGTATAAGAGCTACAGCCCGTACGACATGAAGGAGAGCATCAGGAAGGAGGTGAAGGGAGATCTGGAGAAATCCTTCCTCACTCTGGGTAACAAACACACACCAGCACCAGGCGTCTTACTCCTTTGTGATATCGAACTCTGTTCTGCAAAAACTATTAGAAACACATCAGTGAGCTGCAGACAGGAAGTCAGAGAGCACTGACAGATTAGGCTCATTGGAGATGAGCCAGGCCTGCACAGATTCGATCACCAGCGCCACTGCACAATGCATGCTGGTTAGTTTTGAGTCTGACTTCATCCTGACTTGCTCTGATGTCGTAAAAAAGTGGACAGTGATGATGAGGTGAGAGCGAGGTGGCCGCAGTTTGTAGAGCTGCTGCTCTCCAGCGACTGCAGCACCCAGGGCATGATGGGAAACGCCTGGCTCTCACCTGATCTAACAGCTGATTGGTTCAGATGTCTACTCAACAAGATGTTTTTAATTTTAGTTTAATTTCAGAGATTAAGACTGTAGTTGTCTGATTTGAAGGTTTATTGTGTGACAGAAAACATGTTGTGTGACTGATGGTGAAGTTTATTAATCACAGACTGAATACATTCATCATAAACTACACAGAGTCTACTGTGTATTAATACTGGACTGTTTTAGTTATTGAGGTATTTAACATCACAGAGACTGGTGCTCAGTGAAATGTGAGGATTCTTAAAATAAGTCAGACACAGTGTGTTCAGCCTGTGTAGCTGAGGCCACAGGTCAAACTGATGCTGACTCACAGCAGAGTTCATGAACCATCAACATAAACTACAGATCGCCTGTAAAACATTTTAATAAATTAATCTTTCATAATTAAAACAACTGGAGACTGAGAACAAACTGATATATGAGTCTGATAATATTTTAATAATCGACATCATATCGGACAGGATGTGGGTGTTTCTGTGACTTCCTGTACGGACTGAAGGCTGCTGGAAACTGTCCGACCTGACAGCAGCTCTTTGTCACCGCCTCCTGATGAAGCCGCTGCTCTCGTCCACTTGCAGGCGCAGTTCATCTCCAATTAGCCTATAGACACAATAGTGGGTGCGGTTACATGATGGCTTCTCATTCAGAATGAAATAAATCTGAATGAAATCATTCAGAATTAAAGTCTTTCCAGGTAGTTTACATGAGAAATATTCATTCTGAATGAGGGTTTACACAGAGATCAGTTTAATCACCTTTATTCGGGTCTGCACAAGGTTTGGGGCAGGGAAGGTTTCTGATTGGATAGGGGGCGGGGCGGATGTTACGTGTTTACGTTTACCGGAAGAAAACACTGTAGTCCTCGCTCCGGATAACAAGATGCTTGACGACGCCGTTCTTAGTGCCTTTTTCAGGCTTGTTTTGCTTATATTCTTGAAGCAGCAGTACGACAACAACCTTGTTCTGCTAATGCTTCGTCTGTTGAGGAGGAGAAGGGAGGTAGAAGGTCGAAGAAGGGAGATAGAAGACCGTGCTGTGGCGAATGGAAACCGGTGAGTGCAACGAGTCCGACTGCTCTATCTCAGCCCGTTGCTATGCGCGCTATATACGTCATGGCGCCAAAAGGCCAAGGAAATGAGCATGTGCAGAAAGACTGGAATGAACTTAAAGAGGAATGAGTGTATACAAGTGTGAGAAATTCTTTCATTGGGAATTAGAAACGGAATATTCCAGCCCATTACATCGGATTGAATTTTCAATCGCATTGGCCATTTTCATTCTGAATTAGATGTTTACAAGATCACTTGAACTTTCATTCAGAATGAAAAGGGAATTAAACTGTCCATGTAAACACACTCAGTGTTGGGTTGAGTCTGTACATGAGCTGATCCAAAAATCAAAAAACAGTGGAGCTGTCCTTTAAGATGATGTCATCACAGGTAATGATGTCATCACAGGTGGTGATGCCATATGGTTTCCTAAATGTCCATCTGTCGTCTCTTCACAGTGGAGTGCTTTGAAAACAGGCAGCTGTACTTCGCCAACAGACTCAGTGAAGCCATGAAGGTAAAGTTTCACAGTTTATTCACACAGGTGCTGCGATCACTTTATATATTAATAATAATATGATCATTTTTTTCATTCTGCACTTCATTTATTTGATGACTTCAGTTACTAGTTTGAGATGAGTTGGAAAGTGTAATTGTTTTTCTGTAGCTTCTGCTTTTATTTCTGTTGATCTTATTTTATTTTCTTCTTTTTATTATTTTATACGGTTTTATTTTTTATACTTTTCTGATATATACTATCTACCTGTGCATGTTTCTGCCCTTTGTGCTGCTGCAGCAGCTAATTTGCACTCAGACAATCAATTATCTTCTCTTAAAATATCATGAACAAATAATTATATTATTAAATCAATAACACTTTATTGATCCCTGAGAGGAAAGTCATGAACCACCCAGCAGCATCTAAAGTCATTAAAATGAGCTCCACCTCCACCAGTGGCAACATTAAAGTAATGAACACATTAATGCATCAGTATTTATAATACAATAACATCAGTTATTTTGCATAGTGAGGACTTTTACTTTATTAACATTTTAAACGCTGACTCTCAGTTGGAAAACAGTATTTCTACACTTTAAAAAGTAAAATGTTTTGTCTTTTGATTTCTGTCATTATACCCACCATCCTCCGTCTGTCAGTCTGCTCTGACGTCCGTCTGTCCTCCATATTGTTTTGTGTGTCTGTCTGCAGAGTAAAGGAGCGAAGGAGAAGGTGGTGACGAGGATCATGGTCTCTCGCTGTGAAGTCGACCTGATGAAGATCAGAACAGAGTTCAAGAGGCAGCACAAAAGATCACTGTACCAGACCATCGCTGTGAGTACCTGACCGTGTGTGTGTGTGTGTGCATTTAAAGTTCAAAAACATCCCAGTGTGAATCACTTTATTTTTCCTGTGAAATAGAAAACATTCTAGGGGCCAGATTTGGCCCACGGGCCGTAAGTTGAGCTTCACTGTAAAGAAAACATAACGATTATGTTTCATCCTGTTTCTGCTGATAAATCTGCCTAAATTCTCCACTGGACCTTTAAAACTGATTCATAAAATAAAGTAAATTAAATTAGATTACATTAAACTTATTTCCATGACAGTCCTCTCCTGGTTCAACACCGTCCTTCAACAGGAGCACATGAATATGAAGAGCAACAGTCAGACTCTCCACCTGCACACACACAGGAAACAAACACACCTGACGGAAACTCTGCGACACATTTAACTGAACTAACATCCGTTTTTACACCGACAGACACACATAACGATCAGTCGTCCCGTCTCTGTTAATCTGAATCAGAATAAATGACTTTAAACCAAACAGCGTCTCACCTGGTCTCACCTGGTCTCACCTGGTCTCACCTGGTCTCACCTGCGGCTGTCAACCATCTGCCGGGAGTCTGAAGCAACGTCACTCAGGCTTCCTCTGTGTGTCATTAATTAAAGCCCCCCAGGATACAACAGGTGACCCGGAACTATGATGACACTTTTTTTTATTTATTTATTTTTTTAATTTAAATGGAACATTTGTAGAACAAATAAAAACAAACAAGACGAGAGGAGGCTCCTGCTGTAAAAATACACAACAATATAATACTCAACCTTGATGAGGACGAAGAAAAATAAAAAATATAAATAAGTAAAAAACAGTAATTATTTCTATATTAAAATTATAAATTATAAATATTCTGTGCAGTTATTCAACTGTGCATTTTTTTCAGTATATGACTTTATCATGCACATAACTGAACATATTTATTATGTTTACTCTTATTCTATTCTTTGTTTTATCCCATTGATGTTTATATTGTAGTTAAATTTCACACTTACAGCCTCAGCACAGTGAGATTTATATTTTATTTTATTTTTAATATTTCAATATCTGAAGTACTAGTGTTAAGCACTGTAGCATAATGCACAATCTATTTTTATTTTAATGCACATTTTTATTTCTATTTATTGCTCAATATCAATAAAGTGTTTCTGATTCTAAAATCAACGAGGGGGAGATTTATATATTAATAAATAAGAATTGTAAAATGTAAGTTAATGAATTAAAATACCAGGCAAACAAAATGTAACAAAATGGAGCAAAAACATGGAGATCCAAAATGAGGATCATAATTCATTATTTTTCTCTCAGTCCTGCTGCTTTTTTTCAGTGATGATAAAAACAACTTGAAGTCATTTATAAACCAGTTAAAGAGCTGATTATTCCTCTGCTTGCTAAAATGAATATGATGTTTATCCATAAGTAAGATTATTTTGATCATGTCAGAAACAGATATGATCCTTTAATAAAGAATGTGAGAGTCATCAAATGTTGGAGCGCCAGTTTTTAATGTCAGAGCAGAATCTATGAAGACACACGGAAATCTGTCTTTATGGCAGAAAATATTCACACAGGTTTGTAAATGTTCACTAAAAAGAAAATGAACGTGTCTCAGTTACACAGACACTGTGGGAAATCTCAATGGATTACAGTCTCATTTTTATTTTATTTTTTATTTATTTTATTTGATTTCATTTTTCATTTTATTTTATTCTTTGTTATTTTTTTATTTATTCTATTTTTTGTTTTATTTTATTTTGTTCTTTTATATGTTTTATTTATGTTATTTTTTATTTAATTTAATTTTATTCTATTTAATTTCTTTTTTTTTCTTTCTTTTTTTTTTTTTGGAATACGTATCTGACAGTCAAGCAGATATAAATCTGCTTCTGCGTTCACTAAGACTGACCTGAAAAACAATAATGAAATAAATACAAAAACAAAATTCTCATTTTATTTATAATCATCTGTTTCAGCTCCCCAGAGCTAAAATATTCTTAAAAAAGAGAATATTATAAATGAGAATAAACAGTGAAGTAAAAATAAGTCGAGTCAAGTCATTTTTATTTATAAAGTCACAGATTTGCCTCAAAGAACGTTACAATCTGTCCGACACCCTGAGACTCTTCATAAGTCACATTTAATAACAGATAAAAGGAAGTTTATTTATCTTGTTCAGGAGGAGACGATGAGAGAAATCAATATTATCAATTTGTACTTCAAGACATTTAATCAACGAAACTCACAGTTTGAATCATACATAAAGTTTTTGTGTTTTTATCATTTTATTTTTGTTATCATGATTATTTTTTTATATAACAAGTACATTTTGCTGGTAGTTCTTGTACTGTATCTTTACTTTAAGTTTTGAATGCAGGAAACTTTTTACTTCAGTGACTGATGTGAATACTTGTTCCACCACCGCATAACAAAGAGTTATTTGTATAATAATAAATTAATTAATTGATAAATAAAATGTTATTAATAATATTATTAATAATAATAATGTTTCTGTCTCTGTGTGTTTCAGGAGCACACTAAAGGAGACTACCAGAAGGCTCTGCTCAGTCTGTGCGGCGGAGACGACTGAGCCCTCGACTCCGTCTGGACTCAGTTTCCCAGAAGGCCGCTGGGTTTGAAATGTCAGTTGACTGCAGATCTTCTTACAGTATTAGAGCCTTTTTGTTTTTATGTCCATGTTAAACAGATCACCTCCATCTTTCTGAGCAGCTTCAGTGTCTGAAATAAAACCTTCTCAGCTGTGTGTGTGTGTGTGTGTGTTTGATGAAGCGACCGGCAGAGGAAATAAAGACTGTTGTCTCTGCTGTGTTCATACAGGATTTACTCACTGTGTCAGTATTTACTACAGGTTTACAGACAGTATTCAAGTACACATACTCAGTTACTTTGCTTCAGAACAATCTGAGGTACTCAGGCTTTTATTTTCTACTTTTACTTCACTGAGATTCAGATGGTAATATTATACTTTTTTACTTCACTGCAATTCTCTAACCGCTGCAGTTACTTTAGAAATTATTATTTTTACAACCGAAACATGGAAAAATCGTAAATTAAAGCCCCTAACAGTTTCAACAAGTCCATCTGAAACCATGAGTCCATTAATGGTGAAAATAATCAGCAGATGAATCGAATGTGATTTTATTTTGTTTTCTTAAGGATCATAAAAATTCTGAAAATGTTGAAATGAAGAGATGTTTGCCTTCAAGATAAAAAATATAGATTTTATCAATGACGTCTACAAAAAACATTCAAAAAAACAGTGAACTCTTCAGGATTGTGTAAAAAAAAAGTCTCACAACCTGCTGTATCAGCTCAGTCTTAGTGAAGACACGGGGATCATATTAAACTAGAGGACCTGAGGCATCAAAGTTACACTAAATGTTGGCGAGGGAAAAAGGAACACTGCCTGTTGTTAAAATGGTGTATTTAAATATTTCTGTACGCTGGGGTTCCTAAACTGTCTCTGAATAATCTGAGCTTTGACTCAGAGCTGACAGATATATATACTCTTTATACTGTTTCAGGTCTGCACACAATATTCGACTGAAGCAGCCTCAGGACTGAATGAATAAACGAAGGAAACATATTCGGCCTATTTGTTCACTGATAATTTGATCTGATGATTTAATACCCTGCAGAGATTTCTTCAGTGTTTGATTTAACTTTTGTCTAATTGTTCTTTGAAAGGTATTTTTTCAGAACTAAAAGATCTTAACACAGTGAAGATACAAAATACATGTGGACATATGATTAATTGGATCATTTTCACAGGCAGTAGAACATGTTGCATGGTGGGATTGTTTTGTAATGCATTACAGAGATGTTCAGCTGTCATGTATGTACAGTGGATTCATTTTTATAACTGTAAAGTCCTTGTTATCTCGTGTTATCTCGTATCAGATCGGGACTCGGTGTTGACAGGTACTCAATAATCAATGACTCAGATCTCGATCACAAAAAAAAACCTTGATCAGGACATCGCTCATTAAAATGTTGAAAATCCAAGAGATGAAATCAGATACCTGCTTCAAAGGTCAGAGTGTGTGACGGTGAGCAGAGTGAACTTTGACTTGAGCAGCAGAGTCTCTGTCCACAGGAGAGACTGTCAGATGTGCAGAGGACACAGAGACACTGAGGAACCAGGCCAGACTGTAAAGCCAGGATAAAGAGGTCCCGTGAAGGTGCTGTTGAAGGTGTGGAGGTGGACCAGGAAGTCAGAGACGACTCTGTAGAAGGACAGAGTGCCAGCAGGACAGTCCACATACACTGCTATTCTCCTTGAGGCAGAGGAGGAAGAGGAAGAGGAGGAAGAGACGTTTGTTAGTTTCTTCTTGTGCAGGACAGAGTAACGTCCCCCGGTGCAGCTCAGACTCCACGACTGATCGTTCCATCCAAACACACAGTCCTCACCGTCCCCACTTCGCCTGATTCCTCTGTAACTCACTGATATATAAACGTACCCTCTGCACTCCACCTCCCAGTAACAGCGACCAGTCAGACCAGTCCTACACAGCAGCTGGGGACAGAAGTCAAATCTGTGTGGGTGATCAGGATACGACTGATCCTCTCTGACATGTCTCACCGTCGTGCTGTCGTCCAACAGTCTGAGGAATCTGTTCACTGTGTTTGTGTCCAGCTCCAGTTTACATTCATCTGATGGACAGACAGACAGACAGACAGACAGAGAGACACGGCACAGCTGCAGGTTATCACCTCTGGATTTATTTACAACTTTAAAGTGACACTTCATATTCAGCTGTGAATAATGTTTATAGAAGCATTTATAATTAATGTTAGAGTCAACATGGAGGTGATTCTGTCCTCACATGGACCCACAGGACGACAGCCAGTGCAGACCTGAATGGATCAGCACCTGTACTGAATAAAGTGTCACTAATAAAACTGGAACATCATCTGTCACTGCAGCACAGCTTCTCCAGGCACGTCTAAGTGCTAGGAGGCCCCGGAGCAGACCCAGACCACGCTGAAGGCATTATATATCTTACTGGGCCCGGGAACACCTCAGGGATCCTCCGGGAGGAGCTGGAAAGCGTTGCTGGAGTGAGGAAGGTTTGTAACGCCATATTTATCCTACATCCCCTGTGACCCAGACCCAGAAAGTGGATGGATGTTTATGACTTAACACTGATTTACTAAAACACATCCAAAGAAGAAAACAGATGTTTTTTTGAACACAACAGCTTCTATCCATCAAACATGAGAAAGATGTTACACTACGTACATGTGTCAAAAGATCATGTGAAAGATGCACAGCTTCTACTCAGGATTTTTATGGCTCCATGCTGATGACAGCTGTGGCCAGAGCCATTATGTATTTGGTTGATCGTCTGTATGTCTGTACATCCCATCCTTGTGAACGCCTCAGGGAACTTTCTTCAAATTCAGCACAAACACCGACTTGGACTCAACAATGAGCTGATTAGTTTTTGGTGGTCAAAGGTCACTGTGATCTTGCATCCATCTCATTCTTGTAAACATGATATCTCAAAAACACCTTAAGGGGATTTATTTAAATTTGGCACAAACGTCCACCTGGATTGAAGAATGAACTGATTAGAATTTTGTGGTGAAAGGTCAAAGGTCAGTGTGACCTCACAAAATATGTTTTTGTCCATAACTGAAGAATTCATTCACTAATTCTGACCAAACTTGACACAAATGTCTAACAGGATGAAATAATGAAGGTCAAAAGGTCAAAGGTCAGCTTGACTGTGACATCATCATGTTTTAACGTCATATCTCAGGAACAGAAGGGGAGACATTTGGTCAGATACTGAATTGGTGACTCTAATCTTGAAACTGTGCTGATTGTATAGATCTTCTGTGTGTGAAGCATCCATGTTTTCACTGACATGGATGGAGACTGTCAGAGACACTGGACTGGTGGGCGGAGTCATACAACCACAGGGTGGGCTGGTGGGCGGAGTCATACAACCACAGGGTGGACTGGTGGGCGGAGTCATACAACCACAGGGTGGGCTGGTGGGCGGAGTCATACAACCACAGGGTGGACTGGTGGGCGGAGTCATACAACCACAGGGTGGACTGGTGGGCGGAGTCATACAACCACAGGGTGGACTGGTGGGCGGAGTCATACAACCACAGGACGGGCGATTCTTGTTCATTTCTTTAAATCTGTCCATGTCAGTGGTTGCTGGTTTTAAAGGTCGGACATTGAATACTGTTCAGATTTGAGTTTCTAATGATACCTATAATGCATCATACTGATTATGTATATTTATTACACGGCTCTATTAAATGCTGTATTCTGATTGGTCAGTCGCGGCATTCAGCGGTCTGATATTATCCTGCGGTCAGTTGCTATGTAGCCCAGCGTTGCTAGGGACGCTGCCCTGCAACACTGCAGCTGTCAAACAACTTCCAAGGGAAAAAACAAACAGAAATGGCTGACTTTGACATTTCTTTTAACTTATTTGGAGAGTAGCTACAAGGATTTTGAGGAATGAGATGCCGCTGAAGAAAAAGAAATGGAGAAGGAAAGAAAAAAACGGCACAAGGAACTGACACCTGAAGAGCTTCAAGTGATAGAGGAGGAGAAAGATGAGATAAATACAAAAAAGACAACAAAATGGGCTACTGTACTATACTGTACTGTACTACTACTATACTGATGGACTTTCTCAGCCAAAAACAAAAGAACACGGATTTGAATACACACTCGGCAGTCATGCTTAATGACATTTTATGCAAGTTTTATGCCTCGGTTCAGTCCACTAAGCCTGGGTGAGTACAAAACTTTCACCAAAAGTTGTCGAATCCGGTCGGTTTTAATGCACTGCGCGGAGGCAGACAACATTATTTATTTAACTGATAATTAGCCATGTAATAAGGGGGATAATGTATAATACATTATCCCTTACATAATATTTAACTCAGGAGCTTTTACACATACAATTTATGTATTTAATATGTTTTAAAGCATCACTTTATTCATGATATGAGTTAAATATTCATGAAAAATTAATCATTTTTTACGGAAAAAATAACACAGTATTCAAATATGTTTTTCTGTTGCTAAAAATGCATGAGTGCATTGAAAATAGAATTTCATTTTGTAGTTGTTTTTTTTTGTGTGTGTGTTTGGAACATAATGGCATGTAATTCTGAACTGGTTAAAACTTAAAAGACACTCACACTTCCTCACACCAGGTCTCAGTCTGTGCGCTCCACCATGGTCCATCCTGCAGGGAGAAACAAAGTCATCATACACCGTCACTTAAATCCCCAATAAAACACAGCTCCTCAGTTACAGAGACACAGTGTGAGAGCTGCTGACTATCTTATGCTGTTTGTTATTATCGTTCATGGACAATGAAAAATACCAGGCAACAGAACAGAAAAAACGCTCTCTACAAACAAGCGACAGAAGACCAGTATATAAACTTCTGTCCAGTTTAAACTGTCTCAGTCTACCCAAGAGATACAGACGCTGCAAACATTTCTTATAAAAAGCATCCGTGTTCAAATTCCATGTCAATTTGGACTCCATTATAGTTCCTAAATAAAATAATGTTGTCTGTCCATAACCTGAGAGTGTCTAGTCTCCAGTGTGGATCCTGCAGCCCATCGGACAGCAGCTTCAGTCCTGAGTCTCCTGGATGATTGTAGCTCAGGTCCAGCTCTCTCAGATGGGAGGGGTTAAAGCTCAGAGCTGAGGCCAGAGAAACACAGCCTTCCTCTGAGATCAGACAGCCTGACAGACTGAACACACACACACACACACACACACACAAATGATACTTATTCCCTGTTAGACATTCACATTAGTCAGCTGTTCAAAACTTTGCATTAAATGCTCACTGCTGTAACAAGACTGTAAACCCCGTCTCCACCAAACCCTTTCAGTCCAGTCCCTGTGGAACCAGCAGTAAGCCTTCAGACATGGTACCTAGACCCTCGGTCTGTTCAGACAGTCCTCTTAAATGTGGGCGGGGTTGTTGTCACTCACTGCTCCATCCAGCACTCGCTGTATTTCCTCATCAGCGGTGACACAGATGGAAGTCTGCACCTGGTTTATCGTCCACAGAACGAGACTGCACGCCCACATTTTCACAACAAAATAGAACAGGCTGCAGTGAGAGTCTCTCTCCATGGGATATTTAAAAATAGCAGCTTTGTGCATTTAGTCCTTCTCAGGCAAGCTCAGGGGTTTAGTGTTGCTGTAGCCCACAGGAAGTGAGGATTAGAATATATGACCTTCACATAATCCGCTCCAAATTAATCTATATTTTTAAAGTCATTACTAAAAGTGTGTGTCATATAAAAACTAAAGTGATGATCAAAGTTGTCACAGTGAAATTTAAGGTGTGCTGATGGATTCACGTCATCAACTCATGCATTGAGTAACATTACAAGTTAACGTTCCACCTTAAAAGTTGCCGACAGTCGGCCCAGTGAATGAAGTTATTTTTTTCTCTTTCATTTTATAGTTGTAGTTTAATGATGTATGAACAGAGGTTACATAAAACCAGAGTGAGCGTCCTCTACTGACCAATCAGACTGCAGGGTTTCTAGCTCCACCTTTTAGTACCAGATCTGTGTGCTAGGTACCCCAACAGAGGGGGGACCAAACATGGGGACGCTAAGGAACGCTTCTGTTGGGACCATCCACAACTTTACACTGTGGAGACAGAAAAATAGAGCACTGAGCTGAACTGCTTGGTGGAAACAGGGCTTAACTGTCACTGACACTAACAGAGTTGGTGATGAGGGACGGTCACCGACTCTCCAACAGATTCGCTATTTGATAAAATTTGATTTTATGCTTTAGATTCGATTGAATTAAATTTGCTTCTTCCTACAATCATTTTTGATATTCTGTGACCAGATTTACTTTGTAGTTTGTGCTTTCTATGATAGTATTCCTCCAGAAGTTTAATCTTTTCCTCCTCTGACCAGCAGTTTTCTTGTCTTCTCTTCTTCTGCCGTTTTTTCTACTACTTCTACTAAGTGTGAGTCCAAGCAAACAAACAGTCTCCATGGAAACTTTTACCACTGTAAAATCTCTTTCAATGCAGTAAATGAGTTAATGTGTTTCCTTAACTAAGGAAACATTTTCTGTGCAACTGTGTAAGACCCTCAATTCAGGAGAAATTAAGTCTTAAGTGTCATACTTGAGGAGAAAACTTAAGATGTTTTATGCAACTGGTCCCTGAATTTTAAATGAATCAACACCTGGTGATGAGCTGGATCAGGTGGCAGGGAAGGCTCCTGGACAGACCTAAACTAAACCCAAACAAGTATTAAGGGTTAACTGAGAATGATATGTACACACAAAAACTACATACGTCATTTCCCACACATAATCTTGTATTTATAAAAGTGTGTAGTGAGAATGTGTGCACCTCATGCACAGACCAGCATACACACAGAAAGCTGCAGATGAGATGACAAAGAGGACATGCAATATAAGATGAGAGATAACCTTGGAGTAAACTCGAGGGCTGGGAGGTGAGAGCTGAGGACAGAGCTTTAACACAAACCTGAGAGTTTCCAGGGTACAGTTTGGACTCTGCAGTCCAGCAGACAGAAGTTTCACTCCTGAGTCTGTCAGGTTGTTGTCACTCAGGTCCAACTCTTTCAGACTGCAGGACTGGGAGCTGAGAGCTGAGGACAGAGCTTCACAGCTTCTCTCTGACAGGTTACAGCCACTCAGCCTGAAGAGGAACCAGCAATACAAACAAAATGACAAAATGCAAAAGCTGCATCTGATCTGTATAGTTATGTGTGCACCTACACAGCTTTGTTGGATGTTTTGACCACTGGCAGCAGCCTCAGAAAAGCCTCCTCTGAAGCAGAGTATTTCTTCAGGTCAAACACGTCCAGGTCTTTATCTGACGACTGTAAGATGAAGACAAGAGCCGACCACTGAGCCGGCGAGAGAAGATATCTGGAGAGATTTCCTGATCTCAGGGACTGTTGGATCTCCTCCACCAGAGAACGATCGTTCAGTTCATTCAGACAGTGGAACAGATTGATGCTTCTCTCTGCAGACAAAGTCTCACTTATCCTCTTCTTGATGTACTGGACCGTTTTGGTCTGTGAGCTACTTCCTGTCTGTGTCAGCAGATCTTGTAGGTGTCTCTGATTGGTCTGCAGTGAGAGACCCAGGAGGAAGCGGAGGAACAAGTCCAGGTGTCCATTTGGACTCTGTAAGGCCTTGTCCACAGCACTCTGGTGGAGATATTCTTGATTCTGTTTGTCTCTAAATAATTTAGACCGGAGGGATGTTGTTTGTTGTTGTTCTTCCATCAGATTGACTCCAGAGTTGATGAAGGTCAGATGGACATGAAGAGCAGCCAGAAACTCCTGAACACTCAGATGGACGAAGCAGAACACCTTGTCCTGGTACAGTCCTCTCTCCTCTTTAAAGATCTGTGTGAACACTCCTGAGTACACTGAGGCTGCTCTGATATCGATGCCACACTCTGTCAGGTCTGATTCATAGAAGATCAGGTTGCCTTTCTGCAGCTGATCAAAAGCCAGTTTTCCCAGAGACTCAATCATCTTCCTGCTCTCTGGACTCCAGTGATGATCTGTCTCAGCTCCTCCATCATACTTGATGTTCTTCACTTTGGTCTGAACCACCAGGAAGTGGATGTACATCTCAGTCAGGGTCTTGGGCAGCTCTCCTTCCTCTCTGGTCTTCATCACATCCTCCAGAACTGTAGCAGTGATCCAGCAGAAGACTGGGATGTGGCACATGATGTGGAGGCTTCGTGATGTCTTGATGTGGGAGATGATTCTGCTGGCCTGCTCCTCATCTCTGAATCTCTTCCTGAAGTACTCCTCCTTCTGTGGGTCAGTGAACCCTCTGACCTCTGTCACCATGTCAACACAGTCAGGAGGGATCTGATTGGCTGCTGCAGGTCGTGTGGTTATCCAGAGGCGAGCAGAGGGAAGCAGTTTCCCCCTGATGAGGTTTGTCAGCAGCACATCCACTGAGGTGGACTCTGTAACATCAGTCAGGATCTCATTGTTGTGGAAGTCCAGAGGAAGTCGACACTCATCCAGACCGTCAAAGATGAACACAACCTGGAACTCTTCAAACCTGCAGATTCCTGCTTCTTTGGTTTCAGTAAAGAAGTGATGAACAAGTTCCACCAAGCTGTACTTTTTCTCTTTCAGCACATTCAGCTCTCTGAAAGTGAATGGAAATGTGAACTGTATGTCCTGGTTGGCTTTGTCTTCAGCCCAGTCCAGAGTGAACTTCTGTGTTAAGACTGTTTTCCCAATGCCAGCCACTCCCTTTGTCATCACTGTTCTGATTGGTTCATCTCTTCCAGGTGAGGCTTTAAAGACGTCTTCTTGTCTGATGGTTGTTTCTGGTCTGTGTGGTTTCCTGGATGCTGTTTCAATCTGTCTGACCTCATGTTCATCATTGACCTCTGCAGTCCCTCCCTCTGTGATGTAGAGCTCTGTGTAGATCTGATTCAGGAGCGTCGGGTTTCCTGCTTTGGCGATCCCCTCAAACACACACTGGAACTTCTCCTTCAGGTTACACTTTAGTTTATGTCGACACGCTGCAGCATACGTTCCTGAATTAACACACAACAAATTAAACTGGTGAGATGATCCCACAGGTAATCAGGAAATCTAAACATTAAATTCTTTCCTCTAGCAGTTTAATTCAGCCCATCAGTGGAGGACACACAGACTCTGATCTTATGCAGATTTCGGCTGCTCATTAACAGGAAAGTTTTAAATATAAATGTCTCCCACGTTGCCTCTGTTTCCTCTCGTTATCATGTTAAATCTTTATAGAAATCCTCTTACTGCTCTGCAGACAGTCAGCCAGCTCCTCCTGCTTCATTCTCCTCAGGAAGTTCAGTGTGATCCTCAGAAACGCCTCTCTGCTGCTTCTCCTGTGCTCGTCATCCTCACCATCCAACACCTCTTCATCCTCACTCTGACCCTCTAAGCATTCTGGGTAATGTGAACTCAGAGCCTTCTGGATCTTCTTCAGCTCGTTCTTCACAAAAGTGAGGATGTTCTCTTCGAGCAGCTGGAACAGATTCATAGACTTAACATTTCATATAAAGAACACAACACAAGATTCATGTGTCAGTCTGAAGGCCTGCTGGTCTGAACACAGCAGCACAGTGACTGTAAAGTCCAGTTCAGACCAAAGATCGGTAACCAGTAGAAACCATTTACAACGTTGCAGATAAAAGCGTCAGCGGTGTGAACTGGCCGGTCTGAGCTTGACTCAAGCCGGCTGATGGTGTCACCTGACACTCAACTGGTTTTAAAGCACGTCACCTGTTTCAACAGCCAATCAGCTTGTAGTGAGGTCAGCTGGTCAAGTCAAAATGACCACTGTTGGCTTGCTGCAGCAGGTGCTCCGTCCCCACAGAGCCCTCTGTTTCTGTCCTCACAGTGTGCCGGTGTCAGACGGTGGGTCGCTGCTGCTGCTGGCTCTATGTGCTTAAGCCCCGCCCACACACACATTCTCACTGACTGATGAATTGGCACTGGTTATTTATATTTTTGTGACGTATTGATTATGAATACAGTCCATCTAATGCTGGTTTTGTTTCATCACTGTAGCCAGTATCTCACTATCACTATCCTCATTCAGATTTTAAGAAGCTACAAATTATATTCAGCCACAAAATAACTAAGGAAATCATAGCGGACTTCAGGAAATCCAACCACACTGAGCACTCTGCCCTCTTTATCCACTGGGAGGAGGTTGACAGAGAGCATTAAGTTCCTTGGAGTTCATATCTCAACCGACCTCACCTGGACCACGCACATCTCTCACCAGATGAGGAAAGCCCAACAGAGACTGTATTTCCTCAAAAAGTTAAAACACGCTCACCTCCCTCACCACATGCTCACTTCTACCAGTCAGCTATAGAGAGCATCCTGACCTACTGTTGCACTGTGTGGTTCTCCAGCTGCACAGAGGAGAACAGCTTCCTGTCGACGTTACAGATCAGAAGCGCAGAGAGTTGTTGACTAGAGATGATGCGCCGTCTCATGGCGGTCACTTCCTGTGAACCAGCAGCTTCTTACAACATTGCAGAACGCCACATAGCAAGTAGTCGCCTGTTTCACTCCGTCTTGTCGTGAATCTTTGGTCTGAACTGGACTTTAAGACCTGAATGACAGTTTAACATTTTCCCTGCGGTTGATGTAGTTGATGTGTGTTTGTTCATGTATGCACCATAAATATGGAGTCCAGGTCTGTTTGAAGCTGCTGGGCAGATTGATCACTGAGAACCTCTGAGCTCTGAACACTGCGGAGAAAAAATTTAAGGACATTTAATGACTCAACACATGTCTAATATAGGGGTCTTTTTTCGTGTTAACAAAAGCTGTAGTTTTCTGAGTTTGCTCACATCTCAGACTTCAAGCCAGAAAAGATTTGTGTTGTGATGATAATCTCAAATGTACTGAGAACCCTCAGATTCATATGGATGAAACCAAAGATGTGGCCAATCAGCATAGTTTCAAGATTAGAGTCACCAATTCAGTATCTGACCAAATGTCTCCCCTTCTGTTCCTGAGATATGACGTTAAAACATGATGATGTCACAGTCAAGCTGACCTTTGACCTTTTGACCTTCATTATTTTATCCTGTTAGACATTTGTGTCAATTTTTTTTTCATAATTAGTGTATGAATTCTTTAGTTATGGCTAAAAACATGTTTTGTGAGGTCACAGTGATTTGACCTTTGACCTTCAACCACCAAATTCTAATCGGTTCATTACTGAGTCCAAATGGACTTTCGTGCCAAATTTGAAGGAACTACTTCATGGTGTTCTTGAGGTATTGCAATCAAGAGAATGGGACAGATGCAAGGTCATAGTGATCTTGACCCCCGACCCTTGACCACCAAAACATACTCAGTTCATTCCATGTCCATGTCAACTTTTGGACCAAATTGTAAGAAATTCCCTAAAGGTGTTCCTGAGATATTTTGTTCAAAAGAATGAGAAAGACAAGGTCACAGTGACCATCACCTTTGACCACCAAAAACTAATCAGTTTATCGTTGAGTCCAAGTGGATGTTTGTGCCAGATTTGAGCAGGATGAGCTGATTAGTTTTTATGTGGTCACAGGTCAAAGTTCAAGGTCACCATGACCTTGTCTGTCTGGTGAACACGATATCTCAAGAACACTGATAGGGAACTTCTCTAAATTTGGCACAAACATCCACTCAGACTGAAGAGCAAATTGCATTTGTATAGTGGACCTGCATTTGTACAGCGTCTTTCTGGTCATCTGACCACTCAAAGCGCTTTTTACACTACGAGTCACGTTCACCCATTCACACACACATCATACACTGGTGGCCGAGGCTACCATCCAAGGTGCCACCTGCTACTCAGTTTTAACACACTCACACACCGATGGAACAGCCACTGGGAGCAATTTGGGGTTCAGTATCTTGCTCAAGGGTACTTCGACATGCAGACTGGAGGAGCTGGGGATCGAACTGCTGATCTTCCAATTGGTGGACGACCCGCTCTACCTCTGAGCCACAGCCGCCCCAAATGATTGGAATTTTGTGGTCGAAGGTCAAAGGTCAGTGTGACCTCACAAAAATGTTTTTGTCCATAACTGAAGAATTCTTACATTAATTATGACAAAACTTCACACAAATGTCTAACAGGATAAAATAATGAAGGTCAAAAGGTCAAAGGTCAGCTTGAGTGCGACATCATATTGTTCTGCATAAAACACTTTCCTGGCCATTATTCAGGAAAGATCAAGGAGAGGCACTTCTGGGAAAACATCTTTAAAACCTGGACAAGGAGAGACCCAGTCACCAACAATGATGTGCAACAGATTTAAAAACTTGGATGAGCACCAATTTCCTGATGTTAAATTCAGACAAAACTGAAGTTATTGTTCTTGGCCCCAAACAACTCAGAGACTCTTTATCTGATGACATAGTTTCTCTAGATGGCATTGCTCTGGCCTCTAGCACTACCGTAAGAAACCTCGGAGTAATATTTGATCAAGATTTGTCTTTTAATTCTCATTTAAAGCAAACCTCACGGACTGCATTTTTTCATCTGCGTAATATTGCGAAAATTAGGCCTATCCTGACCCGAAAAGATGCAGAAAAATTGGTCCACGCTTTTGTTACCTCAAGGCTGGATTACTGTAACTCTCTATTATCAGGTAGCTCTAGTAAGTCCTTAAAAACTCTCCAGCTAATTCAGAATGCAGCAGCACGTGTACTAACAGGAACTAAGAAACGAGATCATATTTCTCCTGTTTTAGCTTCTCTGCACTGGCTCCCTGTAAAATCCAGAATTGAATTTAAAATCCTACTGTTAACTTATAAAGCTCTAAATGGTCAAGCTCCGTCATATCTTAGAGAGCTCATAGTGCCATATTATCCCACCAGAACACTGCGCTCTGAGAACGCAGGGTTACTCGTGGTCCCTAAAGTCTCCAAAAGTAGATCAGGAGCCAGAGCCTTCAGCTATCAGGCTCCTCTCCTGTGGAATCATCTTCCTGTTACGGTCCGGGAGGCAGACACCGTCTCCACATTTAAGACTAGACTTAAAACTTTCCTCTTTGATAAAGCTTATATTCTCTCTCTCTCTCTCTCTCTCTCTTTCTGTCTCATTGTGTCATATGGATTACTGTTAATTTATTATGCTGATCTGTTCTGTATGACATCTATTGCACGTCTGTCCGTCCTGGAAGAGGGATCCCTCCTCAGTTGCTCTTCCTGAGGTTTCTACTGTTTTTTTTCCCTGTTAAAGGGTTTTTTTGGGGAGTTTTTCCTGATCAGCTGTGAGGGTCATAAGGACAGAGGGATGTCGTATGCTGTAAAGCCCTGTGAGGCAAATTGTGATTTGAGATATTGGGCTTTATAAATAAAATTGATTGATTGATTGATTGATTGATTGAGTTTAAAGTCTTACCGTTCATCCGCAGGTCGTCTGACTTTAAAGTGAATGGGGCTGCCCATAGACCAGCCACTCTTCATGGACACACAGCTGGGTTCAGGTCCAGGTCCAGGTTCAGGACAGTCTCGTCTCTGCTGCTGAATCCTGATAGGAACAATTAACACATGAGATGTTATTTAAAAGCCATCAAAATAAGCACGTAAGCAAAGAACTTTAGTCGACATATTCAGTTACAATGCTGATTTTGATTAATGCCACCAAGCTCACTGCTCTTTACATGTGTGTGTGTGTGTCCACCTACCAGTGTCCACCCAACTGGACACCAGTACACAAGTGGTTTTATGCATGTGATCAAATAATTAACAGACAATAGTATGATGAAACACTTGATGTTTGGCAAATCACTCCGTGGGGATGAAAATTCAGATGTAGCACGTGATGTTTTCACCTCAGAAGTTATGACACACGTCTGTCTCCTGTATGTCCGCACATTAGCTATTATCAATAATGAAGACTGTCAGTATTGAAATGTGACCGGTGGTTCTGGTCCTGGTGTTACTATGCATCAGATCATTTTGTGGCAGCGCCCACCTCCACTGTGAAGGACCAAGATGTGATTTATCTTCTCAGCAGAGTCAGACAATAACACTCCTCAGTTTAAAGTCTTACCGTTCATCCGCAGGTCGTCTGACTTTAAAGTGAATGGGGCTGCCCATAGACCAGTCACTCTTCATGGACACACAGCTGGGTCCAGGTCCAGGTCCAGGTTCAGGACAGTCTCGTCTCTGCTGCTGAATCCTGATAGGAACAATTAACACATAAAGGAGTTTAAAAAAGATGAATTTTGATCAGACTGTCACCAGTTGAATGATGTTTTCATCTCAGTGGATCCATTGATTAATCAGTCGTCGGGTTTGTCACAACCTGGCTCAGTGAATGTGACACGTACGGCGTCCAAACAAAAGATTGGTTGACTTAAATGAACAATGAAGCGTGTCGTTCAGCAGAGTCAGTAATGACAGCCATGCATGGATGTGTGTCAGGTGTGCTGCAGAGGTGCAGTGATGCAGGGTGGACGTCAGCTGCAGGAAGGGACAGCGTGAGTGAAAGCGTGAGGCAGGTTTTACAGCCTGAAGGCCCAGGTGAGCTTAATCAAGGCAACGACCCTCCCACATCAGCCAGCTGCCCGAAGGGGGCTGGCTGGAGCATCCTCCATGACAGTGGGAGGGGCTTCACAGTTAGCAAAGAAAATTAGTTAGAATTACAAAGTGTACTTCAGAGGCTGGAGCGACAATGAGGGTGAATAATGATTGCGGAGTGATGTGAGTGCTGAGCTCTGACATGAAATAGAGTTGTGGACAGTTCGAGATCGTCATCGTCTCACCTCTGAGCTTCAGCCTGGCTGGTTTTAGAGGGACGGACCCCCTCCTCTGTGTCCCCACACTGATCCATAGCAGTGTCCACACCTGCTGGGAGAAATTCACTCTGTCATTACAACAACAACATGACAGCGTTCCCAGAGGTCTGTACTACAAAACAGGATGTGGAGTTAACGAGGTAACTTCAGGGTTAACTCGAGTACTATGAAGCTGTTTCTCTTTTTCTGTAGTCTCTGTCATAAATACATAAAAAGATAAAAAATGAAACTGGCTCTCGTTATTATAAATGCACCATTTTGGTCAGACAGACGTCATCAGACATGAATTATGTTTCCACTCTTTACTTCAGAAACAGTCTGCTGTTACACTAAGTGTTTAATGTGACACAGTCAGAGCAGTAGAGTAGTAGTACTCTATACTAATGTCACTTGTAGTGATACACGTAATTTAAGACTTGGCCATCGGTGACTTTCTGGATAGTATTTTCAATATTTCTAAACTGCTGTTAGAAGATCACAGAGTTTCGTTTATTTCACACGCCTTTAACATTTTACTGTCTCGCAGTCACCGACCCTTTTGGTACCGTTTCATCACATATGATATGAGGCGGCCTCCTTCATTCATAGTTCGTGGTTCACTCATCAGTAACAGCCCCGACAGGAAAACCCACAGTTGACCTAAGTAGTTTTTATCCAGCTTTGTAGTACCGGTTAACCAGACGGCCGATGTGACGGTTAGTCAGGCCAGATAATGACAAGATATCCTGAGTAAGTTGAACTGGCTTCGTAGTGCAGGCCTGTGGAAGACGCTCAGCTGCTGAATTACTGCAGCTTCATATGACATGAAACAGGACTAAAAGTTCCCGCGACTGCGAGACACTGAAATGTCAGTGATGCAGGATGTAAACAGCACTCTGTTCTCTTATAACAGAAATATTGAAAAACACCAAATATTCACCATCGGCTGAGACTTATATTAAGTGTAGGTATCACCAGGCTCTATGTGACGAGCACAGACTATTTTTTGGTGTTAAGTTGGATGATGATGAAACTCCTCTGAATATGTGACATGAAACACTTTAAAGAAACACCAGACTGTTTCTGAAGTGAAGAGGAGTTCAGGGCTGGAACAAAGATATGACCTCCTGTTACTACTGATAATGTATGTGTTACTCTTTTTACCTGAGACTACAGACTTTTGTCCACAGACTTTTTCTCTTCAGTGATCTGATTGGTCAGAGGTCAGGCTGTTGACAGGCTGTGATCCAAAACCCTGAAGTTAACCTGCTCCAGAGCAGGTCAGCTGTTCAGCATCAGTAACCATGGTGATTTATCCCGGGAAAAAGAGAAACATCTTCGTAGTACTGAAAACCCAGAGTTAACCCTGAAGTTACTTCGCTAACTCCACTTCCTGCTTCGTAGTACAGACCTCAGGTATTGAGATGAACCCACATTTGAGCCATGCAATCCCAGGACACACACCTGACCTTCATTTACTCTCTGAGGATCAATCAAGTTTTATATTGTTTTATAAAGGGAGGATTTACTGCAGGACTGTTGGCTCAGACTTTGAGCTCATTAACTGATAAAAAACCTGCTTTATTTACACGGTGCTGTTCTCACAACGACTGTAAAGCTGCAACTTAAACTTAAAATTCACACACACACACACACACACACACACACACTGAAACTCTCTAAATTCAAATAATACTTCTTCCCTGTTTGACGTTCACATTAGTCCACTGTTAAAAAATTTGCTCACCGATGTAACAAGACTGTAACTAACAGAGTCGGTGACAGTGGACGACTCTGGTGGAGGCCACACCCACTGAAAATATGTTTGACTTCGTGCCAAGTGCACGTACACAGCTCTAACTTTGGTTACACAGGGACCATATGGGTCGTAGCATCAACCTCAGTGGCCCATATTCTCACAGTGCTCCCCAAAGGACTTCCTGGGTTGTGCGATCATAAGCCTTCTCCAGGTCTGCAAAACACATGTAGACTGGGCAAACTCCCATGATCCCTCCTGCAGCCCTGCAAGGCATCATCATCCTCACTGTGACCTCGTCACATGTCCACGTTTGGTCATGGACTTTCCACGTCCACATATGACGTCCAAGGTACCCTGGGTGTGTTGGTTGTTGACGTTCTGGGACGCCGTGTCAACTTCAGCCTGTTACATGCATTGTCTGTTTTCAAAATACACTTCTGTTTTCACAGGAAATGTACAGTTTGCATACAGTCTCTTTCAAAATAAAAGCACTACGTCGGTACAACACCGCCAACTGATGGTTTTTTCTTTCAACAACAAACACACCTGGTTGGGGTTACAAAAGATGAACAGGGTTTGGCTTTATAATCTTACGGGACACTAACACGGCTTTCTCTGGTGAAAGTCGATGTTTGTTGGACCCATCCCCCCCCCCCCCCCACCCCCCCACCTCCCCGACACTGCCGGGCACTGTTTAACTATAACGGCAACTGCCACGAGCTCTGCACGTAAGTATAACTATAAGGTTTCTTGTGCTTTGAATATTTCTCTTTTATATTACTTTATACTCTTCCTTCACAGCATTTATCTGGAAGCTGTAGTTACTTGCTACTTTACAAAACTTTAAAGAACTTTTAAATGCTTATTGATTAATGATAAAAACATTCACCGAAGCTCCAAATAAAACTGATCAAACTCAGCTTCACTTCAACAAACAGTAAAATGCTGCTTAAATATGAATAATCTCATCACATCATGGTACAACACTCACAGGAGACATATTACTGCAGCATGAGTACTTTCACTTTTGATACTTCAGGTACATTTAGCTGATAACACTTATGTACTTTTACCTTAGTAATATTTTCAAAGCAGAACTTAACTTGTTGTTAGGGAGGCTGCTGAACACGGAGGCTAATGTTAGCTCCTCTCAACACAAACTGCAGCTTGTTACACACAGACAGCTGAATTTATGATTTTACAGTTTCCTTAAATTAACAGATCAGAGATCAGCTGAGAGTCACTCTACACTGAAAACTGTCACTTACCAGAGGCTTAACAGGGAGGAAACATCTGCGTCTCAGCCAGGGACAAAGTGAAGGAACCAGAGACACTCCGACTTCTAACCTCTCTTATCAGGACATCTTACAACACTTTATAACACACTACTACAGAAGAGACCAACACACACACACACACACACACACACACACCTATAAAACAGATGAGACGTCAGACATTAGAGATTCAGCGTGCTCAAAGTGTTGCAAATAATAAACACAGAATTTTTGGGTGGGCGGCACAGTGGTGTGGTGGTTAGCACTGTTGCCTCACAGCAAGAGGGTTGCCGTTCGATCCCAGGTGTGGGAGCCCTTCTGTGCGGGGTTTGCATGTTCTCCCTGTGTCAGCGTGGGTTTCCTCCAGGTGCTCTGACATGTTCTCCCTGTGTCAGTGTGGGTTTCCTCCAGGTGCTCCGACATGTTCTCCCTGTGTCAGCGTGGGTTTCCTCCAGGTGCTCCAGCTTCCTCCCACAGTCCAAAGACATGCAGGTTAATTGGTGACTCTAAATTGTCCGTAGGTGTGAATGTGAGTGTGAATGGTTGTCTGTCTCTATGTGTCAGTCCTGTGATAGTCTGGTGACCTGTCCAGGGTGAACCCTGCCTCTCACCCAATGTCAGCTGGGATAGGCTCCACCCCCCCGCGACCCTCAAGAGGATGAAGCGGTTAGAAGATGGATGGATGGAATTTTGGGGTTTGGAGTTTCGACCGCACAAAACAAGCTTGTTACCATTTTGGGCTCTGATACACTGTGTCGGGCATTTTTCACTTTATTCTGTTTTTAAACTGTCCGATCAATTCATTGATTAACCAAGAACATAATCAGCAGTAAAGAGCAGCTTACACCTGAACGCATCAGTAAGAATAATCTCTTCATGTCATGTTTTTGAGTTCAGCACTCACAGGAGACATTTTACTGCAGAATGAGTACTTTAAGAACTTTAGTTGATAATACTTGGACATGAATGTGGTTTTAATACGCTGTGCAATGTGGTTAAAGGTGTGTGTTCACAGGCCTTCATCATTTGTACGTAGGTATAGTCTGAGGTAGGTTGCACAGTACGAACAAATTCAAGTAGGAAAGTATCAATGAATACCTGATTTGTGCATAAAATGTTTGTATGCACGGTTTAAGCACAGATTAGTGCTGTTTGTAATGCAATGAGATTGAGTGTCTGTGAATATGAAAGTCAAAGCATGTTCACCTGTAAATGATGATGTGAAGGTTCAGAGCTGAACAGCTCAGGTCACAGTAGTTTGGCTTCCATCCAAATGTGGACTTGTGTCTCTTTCCATCAGCTTCTATTACGTGAATATTGGGAGTTGGTTCATCAAGATAATCAGCAGGTGGCGCTAATTCTTCAGCCAGGTGCCACTGCAGAAGAAGAGAGTGCAACACAGAGCCCTGCACCAGGACAGGTAGCCCAGGAAGGAAGGAGCATGCTAACATGTTTCCTAACCTGACAGTGATTGAATGTTTTCACCATCCAGTCAAAGAGACGTCCAATTCAAGAACTGAGAACCAGCTTCATGTGAGGGACTGGAGCCATGAGGGTGTGGGTCGGGTCGTGGGACTTTTATAAACAGGTGTGGGCGGGAGCAGCTTTGACTTCGACACAATGATGGGTAACAGGTCGGCTCTGGTACTGAGCTTTACAAGTATGGGCGGGTGCAGGTTCTCAAATATGGAGCTTGATAATAAGGACTCTGGTGCGACAAGATGATGTGATTAAACGACCTCAAACAAAGGAAATCAATGGATTTCTAATGTAGAGACACAGTGGGTCATTTAAAGAGGTGATGTTACAGCTGTGTGCTGTTGGAAGAGTTGTGCTAACAGCCCTGTGTGCAGACAGAAGCTGTTCAAATCCTGCAGAGACGACAAAGAGAGCAGCAGTGGTCTGTGCAATGACTCTACGTCATCATTTATTCACTGAATCTGTTTCCATTGCACTTAGACACATTTACCTTTAATCCATACACCAACTTTTCCACCTCCACCAGGCATAAAAACTTTTTGAGGATATTTAGAGATATTACAAACTGAAAATGTGCATGCAAAGAGGTGAATGGAGACACATCTAATGACACACAACACACACTAACAGCTATTAACAGACTATCAGTAAGAGCAGAGACATTTGAATAATACTTCATCAGTAAACTGACACATCAAGTCACTAAAATGTTGCCTTTAACCCCTGAAAGTATAAATTCATAAGTCTTCGTGTGTTCAGGCAAAGACACCCAAAAACTTTTCATTCAGACGCTGTGCTGGTGCTGTGAGAAGCGACGGTGATTCAAAGCAGCAGTACTTCATAAAAACATATAAAAAACTCAGACTATGAAAGCTTTACACAGTAGCTGAGAATCTTTCTCATCATCAGTGGGGATCAAAATAGTCTCTCTGTCTTCAGTCTGTCTCAGAAGTTGGCAGGAGATGGTATTTAGCTTTGGACCTCCTGGATTGGTAGATTGCCGCTCCACACACCAGGAGGCAGCCAACGATGAAGACCAGGTTCATGCCCAGACTCAGGCTCGGGCCAGACACTGACAAGGAGAAAAACCAGAGTCAAACTCAGGAACAATAACCTGTGATATTATAAAACAGGAGTCTTCAGCGTGTTTCAGGCCGAGGAGCCCTCAGCTCCAAGAGAGACGCAGCAGGGACACACACACTGTATCAAACTGTCTCCAGCTGCTCCTCAGATAATTCTCTCAACAGTTTTTTGGGCTTCTCTCATCTAAAAATCTGTGATGTCATCACAATGTCAAGTCTATGAGCGGAGCAGGAACTCGTGGGCGGGGCTGATGGGTGAAACACTACTGTGCATATTCAGTGGGCCGCATACTGCAGGAGTAAATCCAGAAGCTAAAGAACTTCTTTGGTGTACACGCCAGGTGAGCAACTCTGGAATCAAGAGGCGCCATCTTGTGGACCGTTACCTAGTTGTTATTAAACGCTTCATGTCGGCAGCAGCAGTTGTAGCATCGCTAGGTGCATTAGCCTCACCCACCGCACCTTTACCTGTGGTTTCTGAGGTGGACGGCGTGTCAAAGTATTTTGCTTGAAAAGTTACAAAATGATCCACTGGGGCTCACAGCGGGTTTTCACAACGTTAACGACATGGTTGAAACTGCGACTGTTCATTACAGATTTTTCACTGCCGTTGTTTTTGTGTCGCCACCACATTATTTTAACACATTCTGTGCCCACGCAGTGTGTTGTTACAAGGTCGTGTCCATTTCACATATTACTGTGAGGCTGTGTTGCAGTGTAACTGGTAATCTGATAACATGTGCTACATGTGTACACACTGAGTTGCCAGTTTATTAGGTACAACAAACTGAAGCTAATTCAGTCCAACAACAGTCCTGCAACAATCCTTCTTCATGAAAGTTGTAATCTTACGTTTTTGTTGAAGCTGTTTCAGAGAGATGTTGATTCACCTGCAGGTGTTTCTGTGATCTGAACAGAGTGTATGAGCACACTCACCTTGGCTGTCAGACGTTTTCACCAGGTGCAAAGGTCCCTGGGAAATGGAGTGTCTGGCAGTCTGGCCTGCAACGTCCCTTTTGCTGCGATGGCTCCCTGAACTGATGCATCCCTGAGAGCACCTGGTGTTGGGAAGGCCAGTCTCACACAGGATGACCGAACATGTGATGTACACCTGCAGACACGTGGAGGTAAAGTCAGACACTGTACTCTCAAAGTGTGTACGTAATAAGAACTCTGGTTATTTAAACTCCCATACAGTAGGGTTTTAATGTTCCATGTTTCCTGTCTTTAACATCAGTGGGACTTTACGCTTCACACCAAAGAGATGCCAGAGTTTAGTGCTTTTTTTATATTTATTCATACTGGATGATTTTTAAATGTTCAGGCAGTGAAAAGTTTTGATGAAATGAAATTTTACACTGAGTTTTTATAAAGTAACCTTACCTGTTCATGAGCACCAATGAACTCAAACGCCTCCATTCCAAATCTGAACTGATAGTTGGAGCTGGGGTAGATCTGCACTGTGTTGTCCCTCGCACACCTGTGACATTATGCAGACACAAAGGTTAGTAACTAGAGACAGAGGCATCTCTCTTCATAATCAAAAGCCACAAAAGTCTTTTCATCACGTACACCTACCCATGCTCGATGATGGTGTAGCTGATGGGAGAGTTTGGGTTGTCGTACGGAGTCGCCCTGCAGGACTCCACAAACAGCTCTGTGTTGGGGATGGAGGTGGTCGCCTCGATCTGCATGAACATCATCTGTTTGAGGTACACCTCCACTGGGTAAGTGCTGCTATCAACTTTTGTTCTGAAGCGCTGGCTCTCGAAGAATTCAAACTCGAAGGTGAAAGCACCAAAGCCCCTCTCTGTGAAGGCATATGGGTTCTTGTGGGTGAATCCCAGCGTCAGGTTGGTCTGCTTTGGATAGGCGCAGAAAAAGGCGATCTCCACGTCGTGTTGCCTCGAAATGATTTCATTTGGATCAGCGGATGTGATCTCGTTCTTGAAGATGATGTTTTCTTCATCCTCCTAAAAATAAAAGATGGGCTGATTAACTTTGGAAAGGAAGCAGTTGAACAGTTGTTACTACTGCAAGTCACCAGCTAAAGACAGATGCTATGAGCACCCAGGTGTCCGTACCAAGCATGCTATTTACAGCCAGGTGTAAAGAGCCAACTTCCACCTGGGTGTGAATGTTCCTGGGCGTAACATTAACACAAACACGTCTAATCAGCAGCTGTACACATCCTACAAACTGAAAATAACAAGTCAGCTAAATCTAAAAGTAATAAACCGACACTGACTCACACCCCAGTCTCCTGTGTGAAAGTCCTGTGATTCATCCATTCATCCACCACATCCTACTCCCTCCATAAAGCGTCGCTCTTCACACGTGCATCACATGACTGTTTGGCGCTTCATTTGTGAGTTTTCCCTTTTTCATTTATCACTTTAATCTCAGAGAATATCTGAGATTGGCTAGTTCTAGCCTTAACCATGACTTCTTTGCCTCATAACCTCTCTATTCTCACCCAGCTGCAAACGGACACTCCAACAGTTAAATAGTGACATGTACAATTTAGTGGGTCTAATTATTGATTCAGAAAAATTAATTTATAACTTTTTTAGAAACATAAAATATTCTAAGACAAGCAGCTTCAGCTAGTTGCACTTGTGATGTCAGTGTCAAAATCAACTGTCTAATTCTGGTGTGCCAATTATCACAGGTAAGAAGTCTGGCTACCAGGCATGCTGAATTTAAATTGGGAAAAGACATTTTAGCTGTCGGGGCTTACTCCCAACAACAAAAATGTGGCTAGCTGAAAAGCAGCTAGTTGTGCTATCCAGGGCCCCAGGAGGTGGACTGAGCTTTGAAACCACTTTGACAAAGTTACCAAACCTCGAACAACAACTTTGTTGCATGAGCTATTTTCTGATTTGGAGGTTGGGGTCTTTTCATGGATGTAATTTGGAGAACTGGATACAGCAGTGGCAGCGGGGCCCCGTTCATTCCTTGTAAAGTTGCTCGGTGGCGCATGAAGCTAAAATGGTTTAATTGCGGTGTATAAAATTACCCGGATGATCGGCTCTGCTTCAGTATTGTGTGAACCACTGAGCAGGCACACTAGAGACTTACAGCAGCTGGGCGTGACCATGTAAGGCTGAGTGTCTAACTTCTGCTGGCCAAACGGCTAACTTACGGGGATAAAATGAAGGAGTCTTGCTGCTCTTCTAGACTTTAGAAATCACTAAAGCACTAACTCAATCAGTAGAGAGTCATTTCATGCAGGTTGTGTCGCTCAAAAAAATGATTCCACTGATTACAGACGTCTCTTTCCCAGTGTGAGTCTGTGGGAAAGAGTATTTTTGGGCCGCAGGGCATCACATGACAGACCCCAGAACTTGCAGTACAACTGTTTGGCCACTACGAAAATTTGCTTCAAAGTGCAGCGTACTTTCTGACATCAAAAAAAAAAAAAAAAAAAAAAAAGGCTGAGAGCAACTTCAATTGAACCACTTGACAACAAATAAAACACAGATGTGGGCGACAATTCAAAGTCTGGAACCGCCACACTGCGCACACTGTGATACAGTTCTGGTGCTGTACCTCTATGAAGGTTCCACATGTGTTCAGCGACATGACAGCCACCAGGTGGGTACTGTTGGAGTGTGTTGTCAAGTCGCAGGATGCATCGTTGAAGTCCATGAGATGCAAGTTGTCCTCATTGCGTCTGATGAGGTAGGACTTCTCCACTTCCACCATTATTGTTGTTTCATTGCATGTCACGATGGTCTCTTCAAACAGAGTGAGATATATAACATTCATCAGTCACTGTGATGATGTGGTCGGGGTATCTATGTTATATGTTATTATAAGTTATTCAACATATTTGTGGTCTACATTATAAACTATATGCTTAGAACTGAAATGGAGCCAACTAACCATGGTGTGCAACGTCAGCAGTCACACAGCGTAGCTCTGACTGATAGACTCTGCCATATCTGGAACACAACATGAGAGATCGACATGATATGAAATGTTTCACAGGGGAATGTTTGATGTGAAAACACAAAAACATGGAAGAAGAAATTAATAAAAATCTGATGTGTTCAAAGTGTAAGAAGTTTTCTCATTTAACTTGTGAAATCAAACCAGATGATTTATTTAAAACTCACCTGTCTGTTGCTTCAGACACAAAGCAAATAGGAAAATGATCATTCAGTTCATTTTCACTTGGTGTCCATGTTATGATATATTCTCCTGTGGAGATTCTCCGCTTTGAAATTCCCTTTGGTCCAGTCACAATCAGGCCATTAATCCTATAAGAGAAACATCATTTTCTTAACTTTAAAAATGGGGAGAGTTATCACTAAACAGTGCAGTAAGTCCATTTAACAAATAAAACTGTTTAAAGTGTAACATAGGTGCACAGTATTTATCAGACAGTTTCTAACATCTCTAAACTCAGTGCAGTTGTCTCAACTGAAAAGAAATAACTGAACCAAAACACTTTGTTCAATCATCAGAACCTGCTTATTGAGTCAGTCCTGTTTTCTCATCATGTTTAAGGTTTGTTTTTTACCATGGCAGTCGACCCTGGAAATGTTTCTTTTGTACAAATCTCTGTTTTGTTCATAACATGATACGATAATTTTAACGTAGCATTTCCTTACGTGGTGTACTGTGCTTTGGATCTGACTTTGATTTCGAGGGTTTGGTTGACAAACGCAGGAAGATTCACTCCATTTCTCGGAGTTGGTGACACGAAAATGGGAAAGTAATCACCATCAAGGCATGAAGGGGCAAAGTGTGAGTCCACTGAAAATCAGAGGAGAGGAGAGACAGACTTTAAGACACTGATCAAATGTTAATATTCAAATCAGTGGTGTTAATATGCAGAGAAATAAACATTACCCTACCCTGAACAGTAAACTGCAGAGGAAGTGCACTTAGAGCAGCTGTGTATGGAGCAGCTGTAGTTGGTGCTGCTGTAGTTGGTGCAGCTGTGGTTGGTGCAGCTGTGGTTGGAGCAGCTGTGGTTGGTGCAGCTGTGGTTGGTGCAGCTGTGGTTGGAGCAGCTGTAGTTGGAGCAGCTGTGGTTGGTGCAGCAGTGGTTGGAGCAGCTGTGGTTGGTGCAGCTGTGGTTGGAGCAGCTGTGGTTGGTGCAGCTGTGGTTGGTGCAGCTGTGGTTGGAGCAGCTGTAGTTGG